GATAGCATAGACAAGTTAACATGAAGTTGTTTGAGCTCAGTAGTTAAACAATGTGGGGAAGTTGATAGTGTGGGGAAGTTGACAGTGTGGGGGAGTTGACAGTGTGGGGAGTTGACAGTGTGGGGGAGTTGACAAGATTGGGGAGTTGACAAGAGTGGGGAGTTGAAAAGAGTGGGGGAGTTGACAGTGTTGGGGAGTTGACAGTGTGGGGGAGTTGACAAGAGTGGGGGAGTTGACAGTGTTGGGGAGTTGACAGTTCAAGTCAAGAGTTAATATAGCAGTACACATTTCAGAAACACAGTCATTAAGATAAGGCTATGATTTAAGCCCATGTTAAAAGCATATTGTATAGTAGATAACAAACAATGCACATGTTCGTGATATACAAAAACATCATTATTGTTATAAGTTATGACAATATAATGAAAAAATATTCATTAAAATGTACAACAGGGATGCATTAAATCATGTTTGTGTTATAATAGTTAATTAATTAATATGAGTGTAATGAATTTTAATTAAATATTAAAAACCAAAACATTTGTAAGGTAACTATCTTATAATCATGACTGAATTAGGGCACTATTATCTGACTAACTTAAATAACACACACAACATGGCTAAATTATCAACAACTAACATAATACGGTACTTAAAATTATTTGCTTGTTCAAAAATTTATTTTATGAAATTTCAGCAATATTTTATTTCCATATTGCCTTTGAAAACAAGAAATAAGAAATTATCAAGAAAATACAGTAACACATTTCTTCATATGAATAATTCAACATAAAAGTAACCTATGTGACATAAAAATGTACTGATGAAATAATGTATTTACACAGTTTTATTATGTGGACTTGAAACCCCACATCCACCCGATAATCTGGCAGCCTGCCAACGATTCAAGCATTAATGAAACTGGATAATGAAATACAAATTTGATTGAGAAGTCAGTAACATTTAAAACCAATTTACCAATAACTACGGTTCACTGACATTAACTAAAGTCGGTCTGTTCCGAATTATAAAATAAAGACAATTGAAAGAAGGATTTTTATGGAGAACAGCGAATAGTTTAATTTCTATGCAAGTTTATTATAGCTTTATTAAAACATACGGTATTTAATTTAAGATATGCCTCCAAAAATTAATAAAAATATTCAAACTTGACAGTAAATTGAAAAAACTGCATGAATATTCCAATGTAAATTTATATAATACTTTAAATGTTTAATGCTATTACTGTATTTATGATTAAAACATATTTTTTTCAACAATATAAAATAGACTATAAGTGTGTATTTTAAACTTTATTATCTAAAAATTACATGTTACAGGTCCTACTAATTTCTAATGCTTTTGTGATAATTAGAGCATGTACTTTTATTAATGTACATGTATACTTGACATTGTTTTTTATTATTAAATATTTTCAAAATTATTATAAAAATATAAATGAATCTGGAGGCGTGTTCCTTTAAATCTATAATTTTTTATTACACAATATAATTCTCTTGCTGTATTTGCACTTCATTCAATTAAAAATGTAAATAATCGCACACTTAAAAATACTTAAAAGTACAGACATTTAGACCAAAGAAAATAAAAAATACCAAAAAAAACCCCAACACATTATTGCTTAAATTCATGAATCGCTATCTTATTAAGTTAACAAAACCATGGCAACGATTTGTTTGACAAACATGAAAACAACTACTGTACTTGACTGTATAAAATATCAATGTGTGTTTTTGTACATTTGCATAAAATGATGATATTACTTTCACATAAATTTAAAAACAAATAAATCTTTGTTCTGTACATTATATATAAGATTTAAGTGATCAATGTAAGGAGCAGCCTTAATTCTTTCATAATGATGATGATGATGATGATGATGATGATGTTGTTAATGATGATGATGATGATGATGATGATGTTAATGATGATGATAATGATGACGATAATGATGATGCTGGTGATGATAATGATGATGATAATGATGTTGATGATGATGTTGATGATGATGATGTTGTTAATGATAATGATGATGATAATGATGTTGATGATGATGTTGATGATGATGATGTTGTTAATGATGATGATGATGATGATGATGATGTTGATGATGATGATGTTGTTAATGATGATGATGATGATGAAGACGAGGACGACGACGACAACGACAATAACGACAATAACGATAATGATGATGATGATAATTAAAAATAATAATAATAATGATAATAATAATAAATAATAATAATGATAATAATGAAAATAATAATAAATAATAATAATAATAATAATAAATAATAATAATAATAATAATAATAATAAATAATAACAAGAAACACAAATTTGGCAATGGCAACACATATAATTTGTAACATTTAATTTAATCTACAAACACAATGCTTTCATTACAAATTTACTTATAAAGAAAAATATTCTTTAGAAATTTTTATGAAAACTGGTTCTTGACGATAACTTTTCAATTGTATTCTATAAATATAACAAATATTATAAATTATGCTGTTCTTCTTCAAAGCGAGCTTTATAAAATGGATCTCATTCAGGTTTATAAACAATAATTAATAACATATGATATAACAATAAATTATAGACTACCAGGGTGACTCATAATTTAACAACATGAGAAATTATGTTGTTTAAATATCATACCTTGACGTAATTGAAACCGGGCCAAATGTAAAACAACAAGATTAATATTATCAATTAACAAGTCTCAAATATTATGACAGAAGAATAATAATTATAGAAAAACTAAAAACTTCAATTTATGTTGGAGTTACGGAATGCATATGATTGAGAAAGAAATGCACATGTGGGACATGCATGTACATGTATATTGAAAGGGAGGGTGAATTGAATAAACTTTTATTATTAAGAGGGGGGAGAGTGTAAATTAGCTTTATTTATTAACAAAGGCTAAATTGAATAAATTAAATTGAATAAATTAGTTTTATTAAAAAAGGCTAAATTGAATAAATTAAATTGAATAAAATAGTTTTAATATTATTAAGGTTGCGAAAAAAAGAATAAATATAAATTAATAAATGATGGTTAATTTAATAAATTTTAATGAACAAGGGAGGGTAAATCGACAAAAAAAAAGATTAATTATTAATGGGTAAGTAATTTCAATAAATTCTAATGATTACTTGGATTGAATGTTAATAAATAAGGAATGGTAAATTAAATAAATCTGAATGTCGAAGGCAAGCAAGGCCAGGTCTTTGTATTATACTTAAGGCCCCAGGTCAATTGAATAAATTTTAATGACTCACAGTAGGGACCATTATTGTAAATCGAATAAATCTAAATAAAAAAACGGAAGATAAATTAAATTGAAAAAAATTTAAGTAAACAATGAGGGTAAAAATCAAAAAACGATTTGTTTATTATTGTCAGGGTCATACATTATTTCAGTTTATTATGCAAAGTGTTACAACATTTAAATCCATAATTCAACACCACAAAATCTTTACATACTGAAATACTGAACAGTAAAAAGTTTAGTAATTGACTAATTTTAGTTTGTTTATAGTGCAAAAATAAAGAGAGAGAGAGAGAGAAAAAAAGTCTTAAGTACTTTGAAATGGCTTAAGTTACCTGTTTAAACCCAGTATGTAAACTTATAGTGGCAAAACTAGCTTAACACCAATAAAATTTACACAGATATTTAGTGCGGTTTGGAATACAATTAAACAAAGCTAGGGCCAAGATTAGATTTTATCTAAAACAGCCTATTTACAGAGTTGATTTTAAAAAGATGATTTTTTTAACAAAAACATTAACTTTATTGTCCTGTTTGTTGATTTAGTGAATTGACACATCTTTTTAATTTTTTTCCCTATTCTTTTGATTGAATTAACAAAATTTCAGTGGTAAAAACATGTAAAAAGAAAATTGTACCCAATTTAAATAAAATCAAATGAATGTAATATCCCTAAGTAGTAAAAATATTTAAAAGAAAAGTATGAAATAATATCATTTTATGTCATGAAATTGTGAACCTGCTAGATATTCATTTTTTTGCCTTTATTTTAGTTGGCAAGATTTAAGTTTTTTTATAGAAACTATGGATATTTTAAAATATCAACAGTTTTCAATGGAAAAGCAATATACATGTAGCATGATGCATGCTTAAGTTTCACAACAGAGACTTTAATCTACATACCATTTATAATTAAAAGAAACAACATGTATATTCTGATTTTCATGTTCCACACATTTTTGTGAGAGAATTTTATTAGGGGGAAATAAATTATGTTATCCCTCTAAATTGCATAGCAGGAAATTGGAAATATCAGGGGAAGTAACTATAACATGACTTAAGAACTCCTCTTCAATTAATTAATTGCTAAGTTCATAGATAAAAAGGGGAGAAAGGTTGAAATTGGGCAGGATGGTATTTTATGGTAGGTTACACTATATTCACATTTTGAGAGACTTTGATTTGGGGATGGTGAAAGGGGGGTGTTCTCTACATTCACATATAGGGATGGTGAGGGGAGGTAACTCTACAGTCAAGAGGGGAGGTAACTCTACAGTCACTTTCAGGGACCATGGCTTTGGATGGTGAGGGAGGCCAGGAAGGACAGCACAGGGAGCTAGGAAGGAAGGCAATAGGAGGTAGGAAGGAAGGCAAAGGGAGCTAGGAAAGAAGACAAAGGGAGGTAGGAAAGAAGACAAAGGGAGCTAGGAAAGAAACAAAGGAAGCTAGGAAGGAAGGCAAAGGGAGCTAGGTAGGAAGACAAAGGCAGCTAGGAAGGACAGCGAGGGAAGGTTACTTTGATATATCCACCAGGAAGGATGGTATTAAAAGAGAACTTGTCAACCAAGGACAGTTAGGACACCACTTCCTTATGTATACTATCTATAAATTTGATGGACAATTTCACATGAAACTGTTCATTTGATACCTAAAACTATATAAAGTGATCTGTATCAGATATAACAAATCCACAAACCTGCTGCCTCGATCTCTTTTTCAACATCTCTGTTATCCAAACCGAAACTGTTCATCCTGAAAGCGTCTGCAAGGTCAGCAGAGTCACCGTCGCGTACTTCCTTGACTCGTGCTTCCTTGTCTCGAGCGCACGTGAACGCACGGCGTCCATCACTCCACGAGACATCATGTACCACCATGGCAGCCAGATCGTTAAGTTTTAGCACAATTTTCTCATAGTAAGCCAAAATCTCATCCTGTAATAATAAAAAAATAATTCTTACATTGGAGAAAATATATTAATTACATACTAATACTTACAAGTAGATTATATATATTGCTTTATTATTACCTTCAACTGTACATGCTCTTCTGCCAATCAATATTGCGTTTTTAAAAAACTTTCAGACCTGTTTTTTTTTCTTTTTCCCTTCGAAGCTGCGTTATCAAATTTAGTGCCCAATCAATTTGATACTATTCTCTTTTGATAAAACAATACGTAGAAATTTGAAATCTAAACAGATTTAATACTGAAAACATTTGCTGAAAACAAAAACATGTCGCGATTTAGTTAGTACTCCTCGTTGACAGCCAGGTTCGACAGACTTTTTAAATCATGTTACTTAAGGAGTTTAAAAGCCAATCGAAACTTAAAGTAGTAAAATACGAGTTAGAAATGGTTTCTGCACAAATTAGTATTAAAGGCCAATGATGGAAATTGTCTGAATTATGATAAATTTTCTAAAATGCTTCCCAAAATCTGGCCAGGGGAGATAACAATTGGAGCATCTTGAAAACCTATTTATAATACATCACGCGGCATTGACTCCTGTGCAAAAGCTAAGAAGGAGTAGAACGTTTGTTTCAAATGAACAGTAAAGAAAAACACAAGTACACAGGTTGTTAACATTATCAAAAGTATATTAAATCATTTTATTGACGCCGCCTCGGTCTCTCTATGTCCTCCGTAGATTAAATACCACTGTACAAAAACGTGTAGCATAGTAAGTAATAAGAGTAATTATCATATAAATTGTGTGTTTCTATAGTCTTTATCTATGCCCTTAAAATTATTGGAGGAAATAAAATATTCATGATATTTTTCGTCTGCTGTAGAATCATCAATGTTGCCGTAAGCATGTCAAACCATAACAAATCTCCGGATGATGATGATAATGATGATGATAACGCGATAAAAACTGACGATGATGATTACTATTATTTATAATGATTATACCATTTGGACGAAAGTAATGAACAGAAATGATGATCATCATTATTCATCATCAACATAATTATTATTATCATTATTATTACAATTTCATGATAATGTAATATTTCTAATTACAATCCAAAAATGCGTCAATATGTAATTTGTAAAAATTGTTTGTGTGATTAGTTATAATAATAGAATGAAATTTACAAAATTCCCTGTGAATTACGCAAACGAGAAGCACGTGCCTCATTCCAGTTATGGGTTTTAATGCATTCCTATAAAAAAAAGTCATGTGACTTGAATATTCACGTCTTTAATACCATACAAAATTGATTACGTTTGTAACAGAGAAGATTTGCGTTCTATTCTTCTACAATAACAAACATAATTATTGTAGTAAAATCAATGAGGGCATATGCGCTCTATATAAATCATTCTCTAGCCTGAAAATTAAACGCCATGTTTACATCAAGGAAATTATCAATCTTGTTTTTGTTCACCAATGTTTATTACATAACAATGTAACGTTATATTCTACGAATGCGAAAATAAAAACTTATATATCATAAAAATTATTTACATGTATTTCTGCATTATAAATATAGTGAATTTTAATTTATGCATTTAATTAATATTATTCCATCTGTCGGCAATTGATATTTCACCGCGCATTACTATTGTATAATCATTTTATTCACAGTTGTTTGCATAAATTGACAGGCATTATGTAAACCCAACATTACCGTTTATTTGTACAATAAAATAATACATTCACTTAAAAAAAGTATAGCAATCTAATAGCGGGGAAAATAAATCGCTACAGATGTTATATGGCTTATGTAGTTTATCAAACTATGTCGAGAAAACCGCCATATGTGTTATATGACTTATACAGTTTATCATACTATTTAGAGAAAACCGCTGTTTATGTTATATGGCTAACAGTTTATCAAACCATGTCCAGGAAACCGCTACATATGTTATATAGCTCACGCAATATATCAAACCATGTCCAGAAAACCGCTATATATGTTATATATCTTACGCAGTCAATCCATATCCAGGAAACCGCTATATATGTTATATATCTTACGCAGTATATCAATCCATGTCCAGGAAACCGCTATATATGTTATATATCTTACGCAGTATATCAATCCATGTCCAGGAAACCGCTATATATGTTATATGGCTTACGCAGTCAAGAAAACCGCTTTTATTATTGTATGGCTTACGCTGACTATTTTGAGAAAACGGCTAGAAAATAGCTATATACATGTTCCATGGCTTACACAGTTTATCAAACTATGTCATTCGATACAGAAGCATTTCAGAGGCTCACATGCGGGATATTAAATGTTAACTATTACTTTTTTTGATAATCTACCCTATTGTCGACATACATACGTTGAAAAATAAACTTGCTTTATTTAATATATACGTCCGGTTTTATAGAATACTATTAGTTATATAACATACACTCGTTTAGTTAGTATACTCAATGTATTATATCGTATCATTTACATCAGAAATTTGCATAATCTTCTTGATTTCAAAAGCGTTTTTTTTTTAATATTAAACGTTTTTTTTGTTGTTGTTGTTGTTGTTGTTTTCCAATGTCAAAACGGCGTGTTAATAATATTTTGAACATTTATTCATTTTTATTTCATCCAAGCTAATTTTCAAGGAAGCTATTACATATATCAACTTCAATGCTATCATCAAAATAATGATTACCATGCACGAACGCCTAAGAGCAACGTGCACAGTCGTTTTCATACAAAAGTCCCTTTCTATACATGTATACTAATCATGGTAAACACTCTGTAAGTGTAACTTTAACTGTTTGCATTTCTTTCTGCGCATATTATTTATTTTTTTCTAAACGAAACTAACGTCATTTTTACCCTCTAGTATATCTATAATTAAATACGATATATTTTACGAAAATTATAATTCGCCAAATACTGTATATTTCATTTTATCAGGCCTAATCGTAAATACACTCGCCTTACTACATCTTTTATCAATATTCGTCAGGCGGAAACCGCGAGCGATGCGTGTAAAAACATTTAAATGTTGTATTTACAAATGTACTAGCAAATGTTACGACTGCTGTAACTTCACTTCTCGCTATCTTAAATTTCCGATTTTCTGGTTATCTTCTTGACTTCAGAGAATAAAGTAAACGTTTGTTTCTCTTTCTCGTTTAAACACATATAATTCAAAATCAACGACATACATGTACAAATATTTTTAGATATTTGGTGAAAATTCATATTGTGAAAGCTTAATACCAGGTCAAATGATTTTTATTTACATTTTATTTAGCTTAGCAAAACAAGCTCGTTTTTTGTTGTTGTTGTTGTTTTGTTTGTTTTTTGTTTTTTATTTTATTTACAAGCACCGCAAGTTGCCTGTTGTATTTACTTTTTACCTAGCATTTGTTCTGCATCTTATTAAAATATTAACTTATTACGAAAAAAATAATCATTCATATCTACTTCGTGCAAACCAACCATAAACCTGAGACATATTCACCAAACCTGTGAAAAAATATCTTTTACACAATTTCAGATTTCCACCCAGTTAATACACGCATTTGGAAGTAAATTTTATGAAATAAGTTTATAGAAAATAAATCAATCCACAGAAATACTTAAAGGCTGATTATTAAGAAATGATTCTATTTGCCATCTATTTATATTTTACGTATCACAACTTATTAAAAAATAATTTTACTTAATCGTTTCATTTGTCTTCTTTTATGTCTTTTTTATCTTTTCAGGCAATGAATACTTTCGCCATATGAACGTGTACAACAAGTTGTTTATATACATATTAATTGTTTTAAGAATACTATCATTTATGTTTATATATAGGCATAGTTGTTGAGATATCAATAACGTTGTGTTCAAGCGTATTCCTTCTTAATAGCTTACTATTACAGCACATTGCGGGAAAATAAAAGCATGCATAAACACGTGATCTATTCCCTGCTAATATAATTCTGAACAAAATTCAGTTATATTGTTGTAACACGATTGCACCTCTATAAGCTTGCCGGTATCATATTTTAATATTTAGAACACAGAATGCGAGTCTAATTATTAAACAATCACGCAATGCAGTTTAACATGCGTTTCAACTGCTTTTAACTGCGAAGAAGAAAGCCACCAAAACAACGAGAAATTTTGCAGAAGGACTTTGATAGTATCTAACGGAAGTTTAAAATTTGACATCTCCTAGCCTAGTAGATGACTGATGAAGTGGATATGTATTTAGCACTTTTCTGTCTTTAAAGACAAACGAAATCTAATCAATACATATTTACATATTAGGAAAACGAGGGAGGAAAATCAATTAGCTGGTAAAATCTTCTCCACTCGATCAAACAGCTATAAATAACAGATATTCATATAATCTTTGAGTCAGCACTGCACTAAGTGTATTTTCCCTTTGTTATAATATAAATAGAAACGCATCATTAAAAGAAACGCTACGCGGTGATTTCATGTGATTACAAGGGTAAGAAAAAGCTAATTAATTAAAATGGTATATTTGTTGTTTCTGACATTTTTTAAAAAAAATCCAGATTTCAGACCCGTTCCCAGAATTTCTTTTCCACAAAAGAACATCGCTCTCTTCTATACTGTTAAGATAATATATTGTTTTGCTATTTTATATCTTTTGATTTATTATCATTATCCTTTTTAAAAAAATAACTATTGTTTTCATTTGAACTTTGTGCAAATAATACACAAAATAAATAAATTAGACTCAGTCAAATTGTGGGAATAGCAAAATATTATCTCATACGCTTTTTTTTACTTATATTTAGTTAGCCTTATAATGCAATCAAGTACTTTTTGCAACCCAGTATCTTAATATAGTATAGTCTTAGATACTTTATATTCAAGTACGATTTATATACAATCTGTCAAATAAAAAACCCAACATTGCTTCAAATTGACCAGTCAGCAAGAATCGCATTTGATTTTGTTTAGTACTTTGCTTTATATGTTTTAAACATATAAAAATTATTTCTTTCAAATTTCTGAGAAAACCTCCACGAACTTACTATTATTTTAACATTGATAAATACCTAAAACCGGTTTTATAATATCGGCTTAAAATATATCATAGTTTAAGTAAAATGCTTTTACTGCAGCAGATGTTTAAGTTAAACATGTACGTTGTTATTTTCGTACCAAAATCAATACAGTATTAATTTTTAATTAAATAACAATATTTACGTTCTATTATGCGATGTATGTATTTTAACTCTTGACAACTCGCCGAATATTAACAAATACAAATTAATGTCCGCGAACTTAATTTTAAACGGTCTATCGGAAATGAAGCTTTGCAACAATAATTGAATCACCTTTATGCTAGCATATATTATATTCGTGTTGAACCTACACGATTACCCCCATTTTTACACCGTTACATACCGTGTTATTCCAGATGTGAAGCTGATAATTGAATCAAATGATTATCTCCGGCATATTTTGCCAATAAAAATGAGGGAGAAAAAAAAAGAAAATGCAATATAATAATAAGGTAACCATATAATTATAAACATCATTTCTATATAAATACTCAAACCGTACGTGTGGTGTGTCTATGCATTAATTACAACAATCGACTTTAGAAGTACATTTATAAATATAGGTGTGTAATATATATTACCGGTAAAATAAAAAAAAAACATGAACGACATGAATGGACTTCGCGCATAATTTAAAAAGAAAAAAATAATAAATTATGAAGTGTACGCTGTCAGATAATATTTCGAACGTTTTATCTGTATGCATAAACACGGTGTTAAATTATAATCACGCTATCTCTACAGAAGATATTAAACATTAAACAAATATTATACGAAACGCTGATACTGGAAGGCTGTTATATTCTGTTTATATAACAAGAAAACCAGCTTTCTGTACGTTAACTCTGCGTCATACAGAATCTGTATATTAGTGTTGAATAGTAAATTACGTATGTTATATGTGTTTTATACGCTTGTAAATAAATCATGTGAAAAAAATAAATATTTGACTGATATTGCACGTTTAACGTATATAGAAGTCAAAACACTATGTTCGTGCGTATTTTGTAAAACAAAAAAAGAAGTGCATCGAGTTTAAAAGTAATCTTTTTTTATATATCTTGTTTGAAGTACAGGCCATAATCACATGACTTGATACTTGACATTTTCATTCTACTAATGTAACATAATATTTACTTCTTTTATTTCCCTGTAAATAACAACTATTCATTTAAACAGGGAGTCCGGCATATTGTATTTTTATCCGGTTTAAAGCGGATGTGAAACAATGCGTTCAAGAATCGATTTGTATTTAAGATTAATCTTTTTTGCAAATAAACTTTTGAAATAAATATTACATCTCATTTTCCTCTGTTTTTATCATTTAACAAATACAAATATTTATTCGTTTTTTTCTTCTGTCCTATTCGACACACACTTATACAAGCGTTATAGCTACATTAATAAAGATTAAGAAGATATGAACTGAAAAATACGATAAAATACTGAGTGAATCAACGGCGAATCAATATACAATGAATATTGTATGCGACACAAATTAGTGACAACAAGTACTTTGATAGTATTAAACAAAAAGTTTATATATATAAACACTGTATAATATAGCACCGAGGAAAAGATTAAAATTCTATGCTGCTGGGGTTCTCAAGGGGAAAAACATTTAAACCCATGAATGATAAATAATTACCTCTTCATTTCTCACCGAGTGTACATGTTTATTGTATATTGGGGCGCCTGAGGGGAAATGGAAAAGCGACACCAGATGTAATAGATTTTGTAAAATTTATAAAAACCCGATTTTATTGAAGTGGTTTAATAGATAGGGAAAGGAAATGCGCTGTCTGAAGTAAATATAAAGAGGAAAATAAACCACATACTTGCGTTGATTTAAATATAAAGACTTAACACGAAAATAAATATAATATTTTTAAGATATTAATATTTCAAGGGCTATATGTTCGGCGTTATAAACTATCAAATATTTATTTACTACGAGGCCTTTTCAATATTTATGTGTCATTAATTTCACAACGGGGGCCTTTGTTATAGTCACATGGTGTTTACTTCAAACATTTTCAATATTTAAAATATATAGTTATAAATATTAACATTTTAAGTAAAAATGAAAATTGCGTAAAACAAGATCCGTGAACAGAAATAGCTACGTATTAAATTTGAAACGGAATGTTTATCACTAAAGTTAATATAAAAGTAAGATAAATTATGAAATTTCACATTAAATTTAACACATGTACACGCACGAATTGTGGGTTCTTTGTTTAAAATAGTACAATCTCACAAGATATTATTATATTACAAAATAGGAAAAATACTTCCAAATTTTTTTTTAAATGCCGTTAATAATTCTAATTAATAACGACCATTAAAAGTGAAAACCAAGAAGGTGTAAACATAATGCACATGATAAAAACATATTAAAATTTATAATACATATAAGATTTTTTATAATATAACAAAATGAAAATTCGCTATAAAATCTCTATAAATAATCTACTTTATTTTTTTTCTATGTATAATATCTCATATTTTTAATTGCGAAAAAATTTATCATTGAAATGTCCTTGACCAGCTTTTGTATATTGTTAAAAGTATGGATTTTATTTTTGTGTCATTTTTTCCCTATCGCGTAATCAGTATATGACACGTAGAATAAAGATACGTTCATCACAAAGTATGCTACACAATTGTATGCGCCATATGTTATAAATACACCACTTGGCTTCGAATTAACTACTTTTTATCACCAATTTTCTAACATTTACCCCATTGGGAGCCCCACAGCGCGAGATGCCAGACTGCTAACTGAAGAGAGTGCTATCGATTTGAAGCTAATACCTATCCGGAAATAACGAAATTAATGTAGATAGTTTTACGAAAAAATTATACAATACTAAAAATTAAAAATTTATTTATAATTAAACAAAATGGCCCGGAAGTTTTATCATTTTTACATTTGTATTGGGGCACTGAACGCTTAATAGTTAATAGTACACTCAAAATCTTATTTGTGTAAAATCGATTTACTTGGGACAACTGCGGCAAGGCATGTGTGATATGAATCAATAATAATGAAAATTAGATATATAATATAACTATAATATGTATGAACATCAACAACACAAAGAAACAGTTTTAAATCAATATTTAAACAAAATTTGTAAGAAACAATCGCATGCACGAGAATTAATTAACACGTGCATTTAATTAAAAAAACACATAAATATATCACGAATAATAAAGAGAAAAGGAAAGAGACATAATTAAAGTTTGAAATAATGTGGTACATATTTAAAAACATATAAAATCATATTTAAAAGATCTTTTTTGCTTATCTTTTATTATATACAAAATTTAAAATCAATTAATTAAAAAAAATAATTAAAATTACCTCTCCGTGGCTCGTTTGCCGACCATCGGGCGTACATTCTGGGAGAAAATAAAGCCTAACACTGGCCAAGTCTGTTCCAGAAGGTTTATCTTCCCAAACCAGCTGCACCTCGCCAATACAGATAGGGATCGAGTCCAAAATTTTCATAAAGAAAAATTGTCCCAGTGATATAATTTTACTTTTCCCATTCTTTTTATATTTAAACGCTTTGTAAAACACACTTGAACCGTGTTTTCCGCACGTGGGTCCGAATTTCTGAAATTTTAACATTTTAAAGACAATAATACAAACGCATAATAAAACGATGCAATGCTATCATGTATAAATTCACTCAACAAATAACTGATAAATTGCTGCCTCAAACTAGGTCATTTGCACAATAAATAACCGCATTTTAAATGTTTTTTCAGATGTGAAAAAATGAAAATAAATAGTTAATACCTCGTAGAATAATATGTCAATAAAATTGATAATATTTACCTTCACTTTAATCCCCTCCATCTCATCTTTTATTAGATTTTATATTTGTTATTTCTGATTATACATGTACACTCCACAATACGATATATTTAGACACTAATTAATGACGTCACGACATATAAAGGGCACTTGCTACCTCATTAGCATAAATTATTACAATCCCTCGATAATTAATCGTGCGCAATACAAAATGATCAAAATTTATGTGTAAAATAAAGAAATCATTAGGTACGACAAGTTCCACGCTATTTCTAATATTTTAAGATAAAAATATATGCCAAATAACATTTTATTGAAACTGTAAACAGCTGGTACCCAATTGATATCGTATTGTATTGTATGCGGATTAAGCGCCTAGAGGCGTGTGGAAACCATCTAATGTTGACGGAAGTACTAATCTGTCAAAGTCCACAGTTGCAGAAACAGAACAATTCAACGGGGATTTATTCCCATGATTGGTGTCAGTTTGTTTTGACAATATATTGTCATTACTTGTAAGATTCTAATATTTTAATGTGTGTCAATAATTTTAACAAAAAACTGCTTTGCTTGAAGTAGAATTGTTTTAATCTGTTTTTAATTTTCAACTTTTGTTCCATCAACAATTTACTGTAAATAAAACTCACCCAAATTATGTGATCTTGGTGTGGATTATCCTAAAAAAGGTGCTGTAAATATGGAAATTCTTAACAGTTTATTTAAAATGTACATCACATTGATTGGGTCAACATTGGCACAATGACAAACAGCATATTGAATTAGACAAAGGTGGGCAATCTCATGGATAAGACCCGTATGTATTTTTCAGGTGTAAAACTTGTATATAATACACTAAAGAAAACGGAATGAACCATATTTATACTCTTGGTTTAGACCCTGGGGTCTAATCCAGGATAAAGCCCAAAGGTGGGCAACAAAGGTGTCTTCATTGTTTACACTTACAGGCTTGTTACAGTTAATTTTTTATGATTTCACCAAGAAGTAAAAATATCTCGAAGAATTGTCATATTTATATGACTACATATCCACATTTTTTTATATGATTACATATGATCCACATTTTAGTCCAACTAAACTCCATACATGTTATAGAGACATAGACATAATTTTTGATGGGCAATATCCTTGACAATAGGGTGGAAAAAAACAGTTGTGAAATGGGTACAACCGTTAATGCTGAATTAATTATACTAATCCATCTTTTTGTAGTCATATAGCGCTTGACATGACAGCCTACAAGCTTGATCTAAAGCTATGCCAACTAAAATTAGTAACGAGTCTTTTTGGGGAGACTATAAAAAACTGCAATCTATTGTAATTGTGCTCTATTAATTGCATGTAATTTTTTAAGAAGCAGTAAAAATAATCTGGAATGTAGATAAAACCTGTATGCATTGCTCTAGACTCCAAAAAATAATTTAATAAAATTACAAGTTCCAGTAACTTTTTGAGTGAGTTATCCATATTAATTTCTATTGTATCACTTTAATCACATTGCCATTTAATACCAGCCAGACCTATACATATTAACATCCCATTTTATGATATTAAGTGAATAATCACAGGCGCTATTCATATAATCAAATATTTTACATAATAATATTAAGATTTTAGTATATAGCCCATGAAGAACATAAAAAAGTTTGTTTCAAGCACCTGTGTGAATAATTGATTATTCTAGTTAGTAAGCAGTTAGGTCAAATTTAATAGATTTATTAAAAGTAGACATAGTTTTGGCAAAATTAGTATATTGATAGCTTAGTAATATTTTTGTGTTGCGTAACTTAAATCATTTATTTTGTAGAAGATGGATGATATACTTGTAGAGGTAGTCTGTAGAATCCCTGGGCATGAGTCTAAGACATTTAGCGTCGCCACGTCCGAGAGGAACACCATTGCTGGCGTGATCCGAAAAGTGTGCAAGGAGAATGGTATTGCAATGAAAACAAGTTATACTTTGCTGGATAATCGGGAAAGAGTTTTACAGTGGTCACAGACACTTATTCATTGTGGAATTAAACATAATGATATCCTATATCTTACAAATGAAGGTATGTATGCATAAAAAATGATATACATGTATATATAATTTACCTTTTACTCTATGAGTTTGTTTTCAGTGACAAATATTTTCCTATAACACACATGTATCAAAATATTATGCAAACTGGCTAGGATCTGTACAAAAATGTGGGCAGGCAAGGCTGTGTACCTAGGCTTTATGCAAACTGGTTTGGCCCTGCTCTTTCATTCAGCCTTGCCTGTGTCTGAACAAAAATGCAACAGGCATGATTCTGTACCAATGTGCTGACTAGCCTTGATCTGTACTTAATTGCAGGCTGACCTTGATCTTGCTGGTGATTTGTCCCTATATGACTTGTTGTTTGCATATACATGTACATAGGCAAGGGTTAACTTATGTTATAAACAAGTGTTTATTTAGGCCTTATAACATGCCAAGAATCTTAACAGCAAACTTTCTTTATTTGAGATAAAAAAATTACTGCACATATTGACAGCAGCCTTTTATATAGTTAATATAAACCTAATGATTTTCCAATGAAAAGTTGGTATACAAACTTGCAATACTATAATGTATAATTATATTACAGATGAAGATGTTCATGTACATAATGGATGTTTTTGGAACAGCTGGTGGTTTGTGGCTGCAATAAGTCTACTGATAGGTGGTGTTGGTGTCACTGCTATAACCATACTGTATACAAAAAATGGAGAAACACAGTATCAGGTAGGCATAGAACTTCTTTTATATACCATACATGTGAACACTCCCACTTTTAGTGGGAGACTCCCACTTCTGCTGCCATATTTTCAAAGATTTTGTATAAAATGAGGGGTATTTTCACAAATTAAAGAAATCTCCCTCTTTTTGAAGAAAAATCTCCCACTTGATCATCGAAAAAAGTTCACATGTATGATATAAATGTACTAGGTTTGAAATATATGTTTAATATTCAGTTGCTAACATTATGATACAATAAGATAAATGTAGATATATGTTGAATTTGTTTTCTGAATTCTCCAAATTGTACAACTTTCAAATTGAGATTAAACAATGTTTATGTTTACACAATGCCCCCAGACATCTATTGACGTCAACATTTCTTGCAGATAATCTGATATTTAAAGGCCACCCCACTATTAAGACCATTTCATTCCAAAACCTCTAGTGGTCCTATTAGCGGGGTTATACTGTATATTGATTTGGATAATACCACAGACCAATATGACATAGGATATACCAGGCTCTGAGAATGGCAACAAGTAATTTATTGAGGGGAAAGTTTAAGTTCTGGTCAACTGAATGTCACTTTGATATGACATGATAACGTGTCATGTGACTGCGTCAAAAAACATGATATTTCAGTCAAGATTCATGTAGCACCATAAAGTTGAACATTATGCTCACTGTTCCTGATGAGGTAAATCAAACCCTTTATATAAAAACAATTCAGAAAATCAAGTGCTTTTTGCTTATGGTTATGCTAATAGTAGTCACCTTAGCTGAGCAAGAAATCTTGCTGACTTTAAATTTATTGCAGCCAGCTTCTCTTATTTTGAATCGTGCATGAGAAGTCTCATGTTTTCCATATGAGCGAGCTTTAAGGCTTACCAATTTTATGTTGCTTAAGAGGGTGTCTTTTTAAGCCAGAAAAATAATGCACAGATCTAGGGACATCTTCATTATCATTACCAGCATGTAAAAGACATAAGATCAGTGTTTTTTTTCCCATTATATAACTATTATCCTATAAAGGCACTGTTCCCATTAGAAAATAGACGTTAAAATTCCCAATTTCTACTGTTTAAATTCCCAAAATTGCTGTTCAAAATTCCCATAAGGCCAAGAGATTTCTCTGAAATATCTCTGAAATCATTTAAATCCAACATATTCAAATAAATCACCACTAAATAGCTCAGTCTGGACAGTGGAAGCTGTCAGCTGTTCTTTTTAACCATTTATGCTATCTCTTTGTTCATCAGTATATTACTACCAAGTCTACCACTCCCCTCTGTTGCGTGACATACAAACAAGCAAACAAGTAAACTTCCTCAATGACTTATCTTATTTGTAGCTGAAAAAATGCATATTAAAAATTCCCAAGTTAAGTCAAAATAACACTTTTTCCCCAATCAGTCTGGTACCAGCACCATTCCCAAAGTAGAGAAAAAACGCTGAAGATGTGAACAGACTAAAATAAACGAAATGTTGTAATACAAAGGGAGACTACTCTTATTTAAAAAGCAGTATGGCAATTTTATGTATTAGTAAAAGTATTGAAGAGCTAGTGTAGGAAGATAAAATGATATAGAGAAACAATATACAGGTGTATTTGAATTCCCATGACAGTATGGTACAGCAATATCTATATTTAAGTTAGGGTACGGTGCAGTTATTGTTAACATCAATTTTCATTAAAAATCCAAAAGAAAGTAATTTCTGAATTTCTCTTACAGTATGGTGTTGTGCTTGATGCAGGATCGTCCCATACTAAATTGTTTATATATAAATGGGACGGTGAAAAGTTACATGAAACAGCAGAGGCGAAACAAGTTCATTATTGTACAGTAATAGGTATGTCTTGACTTAGGCCATTGCTCTTTAATTGCCAGATTGAAAAAAAAAAATTGAAAAAGAAAAAGAAGTGCAATTGTTAAGTGTTGAAAAGCTTTTAAAGATGAGACCTTTAATCAAAGCAATGTCTGAATTTTAAAAATAGTCTTAATACTGATAATATAGGGTTAACGCACGTTTTTCCGTGTTATAACGTCTGCAGAGTCCCGAGGAACGGTTGGTGCCCGAGCCCGGTAGGGCGAGGGCTCCAACAGTTCCGAGGGACTCTGCAGACTTTATAACACGAAATAAATGTGCGTTGACGCTATTATAGCATAAAATTTTCAAACAGATTCGTGATGTTTAGTTTATACAAAACACAATTCCATTAGATTCTTGTGCTTGGACGGTATTTATCCAATTCTATGTTTTACGTATGCGTTTCATTTTTCCGGGGCCAACAACTTGGAAAATTCTCGGAACCGAACGAAATTTTGAATTTTAATTGATTTAACAAATTTAAAGCTTGGCCTTTGGAGATTTATTATCTCATGAAAAAAAAACGTTACATTACTCTACCCTCTACCCAAGACAAAACATGACCCTCAGAAATTCTTAGAATGATTTCAGATTGACGGTAGAAAAAAGATCAGTGACATCAGAATCATTTTCTTTTTCAAGCAAACAAGTTTATAAAAAATCAGGCACTAAACATTATTCTCTCAAAGAAATATAAAGAGCATTTATCAACATTAACATAAATAAAAAAACATGTTCTCATATTAATTTTGTGTTATCTAGTTTTGTAAGTTAATCGGAGTGTTAAACTGAATGACAGGTAGATTCTACTGTATTTGTTTACATTGACAACTGTCCGTTTTTTAGAAAGGGCGACAACCAAGATTAGCACCGATGTCTATACGCCGTTTTTCCGGCATAGTTACTTGAATATGCGACTGAGGCCCTCGAATCAATAAATTTCAATATAACAAGAGCACATGACTCTTTGGCATTTTTTGTTTGTTTGTTTACTGGGCCCTGTATGTATTGCGCATAGGTGAAACCGCGCTATAACAAGAGCGCGTGACTATGTTAACACATGGTTTTGGTCCCGTTATAACATGGGCAAAAGAGGGTAAAATAGCCGATTTTATGTTATAATTAAGAAAATAACTCAAACTTGATATGAGCCGCGTCACGACAAAAACAACATAATGGGTTTGCGACTAGCATGGATCCAGACCAGCCTGCGCATCCGCGCAGTCTGATCAGGATCCATGCTGTTCGCTTACCAACTCTATAACAAGTAGAGAAACTGATAGCTAATAGCATGGATCCTGATCAGACTGCATGGATGCACTATGCTGGTTTTGTCATGGCGCAGCTCAAATGTTTATACTGGAAAAATCAGAGTGAGTGAATGATCTGAAATTCTGTACAGCCATTAACGTCCAGACCTACAACAAATGGTATAAAAATCTGGAAAAATACTTCCAGTTCAGTCATGTCAAAAAACCTCATTGGGGTCCCTTAAATATCACTTACCCTACAGCCACTATGTGTTTCAAGTCAGTCTAGAAGATTTGATACTTCTGTGGGATGAATCTATCCAGTTAGCCAATGGAAGGCTGTTGGTTCTACTTAAGTGCCAATTTGCACAATTAATAAAGCACAAAGGGGCAGTTATGTTCTTTCTCTACCAAGAAGGCTGGAAATTTACCTTTGACTTTTACAATGTTAGTGTGATTTGAAACCCTGATGAAAAAAATTTTATATGAAAATAATCATACTGTTATAAGACGCTGTGTGCAAAATCATTTGAACATTATGCAATTTGCACCAATATTTAAATGGACATATTTTTGGCACATATTGTCTTGAATTTATTTTAAGTATACCATTTCAATTTTACTTGTTATCCAATTTATTTTGCTTTGACCAGACATTTCAATCTTTGTCGCAACAGACAAACATTTCAGAATTTCAGACATGGCATTACTTTGTGAATTTATGCATCAGGTTCTACTTTTTCACAAAAATATGCAACTTAATTATGAAACAATGAGCACATACCAAGAACATGGAGTGGAAAAAAAAAATTGATTTGTGCTTTGGATATCCGACTGTAATAGAGAACGGTTTTCAATGCTGATTGACTGCTCAAATCATTTGGCAATGTCTTTGATGTGCAGCATCAACATTTAACTTGTTATGCCCCCGCCATGTAATGGCCGGGGCATATAGTGTTACCCTGTTCCGTCATTCCGTCCTTCCATCCTTCCATCCTTCCGTCCTTCCGTCATTCTGTCATTCCGTCATCATCAGTTTCCGTTCATTATCTTAAGAACTCAAATTTGACATATGGATATGTCATGAGAAAATACAGGTCAAGTTCGAATTTGGTCATGGTTCGATGATTTTTGGCAGAGTTATGCCCCTTTTACTTTGAAAATAATATGAAATTTCAGTTTCCGTTCATTATCTCCCCAACGGTACAACACATTCAACTCAAACTTGACATATGGATATGTCATGAGAAAATACAGGTCAAGTTCGAATTTGGTCATGGTTTGATGATTTTTGGCAGAGTTATGCCCCTTTTACTTTGAAAATAATATGAAATTTCAGTTTCCGTTCATTATCTCCCCAACGGTACAACACATTCAACTCAAACTTGACATATGGATATGTCATGAGAAAATACAGGTCAAGTTTGAATTTGGTCATGGTTCGATGATTTTTGGCAGAGTTATGCCCCTTTTACTTTGAAAATAATATGAAATTTTCAGTTTCCGTTCATTATCTCCCCAAAGGTACAACACATTCAACTCAAACTTGACATATGGATATGTTATATGAAAATACAGGTCAAGTTCAAATTTGGTCATGGTTCGATGATTTTTGGCAGAGTTATTCCCCTTTTACTTTGAAAATAATATGAAATTTTCAGTTTCCGCTCATTATCTCCCCAAAGGTACAACACATTCAACTCAAACTTGACATATGGATATGTCATGAAAAAATACAGGTCAAGTTCAAATTTGGTCATGGTTCAATTATTTTTGGCAGAGTAATGCCCCTTTCACTTTGAATATAATATGAAATTTACAGTTTCTGTTCATTATCTACCCAACAGTGTTACATATTCAACTTAAATTTGACATATGGATATGTCAAAGGAATGGGCAGGTCAAGTTGGAATTTGGTCATGGTTTGATGATTTTTTGGCAGAGTTATGTCCCTTTCACTTTGAAAATAATATAGATACATCTTAGGAATAAGCAGTTTAAGTTTGAATTTGGTCGTGGTTCAATGATTTTAGACAAACTTATCTTTCCTGAATGTTGGAAAAATTTTGAACTTTCAGTTTCAGCACTCATATTTTTAGCCATAATTTTGGCTACAAATATGCAATATGCTATTTTTAAAAGGTTCAGACTGAATAATTTCAGTGCCTTGAACATTGTATGAAAATGGTTTGTGTTAACATTGAAAAGTTTTAAGGGCTTTGAACTTAAAATGAAAAAAATAATTAATGCACCATCTGAAATTTTGGCTGCATGCGGGGGCATCCGTGGCATGATGACACATTTCTAGTTTAATGTTTATCTAGATCATGGTATCACCTCTTATGTGAATACTCCCAGCAACCTGTCAGGGCCTCTGTCAGTGTGTTTAGAGGAGGCAAAGCAACATATACCATATGATAACCGAGAAGACACCCCGATATTCCTGGGAGCAACAGCTGGTATGAGAATGCTCAAGTATGTATTTATACCTTAACCTTTATGTATTTATACCATAACCTTTATGTATTTATACCTTAACCTTTATGTATTTATACCTTAACCTTTATGTATTTATACCTTAACCTTTATGTATTTATACCTTAACCTTTATGTATTTATACCTTAACCTTTATGTATTTATACCTTAACCTTTATGTATTTATACCTTAACCTTTATGTATTTATACCTTAACCTTTATGTATTTATATGTTAACCTTTATGTTTTTACCTTAACCTTTATGTATTTATACCTTAACCTTTATGTATTTATACCTTAACCTTTATGTATTTATACCTTAACCTTTATGTATTTATACCTTAACCTTTATGTATTTATACCTTAACCTTTATGTATTTATACCTTAACCTTTATGTATTTATACCTTAACCTTTATGTATTTATACCTTAACCTTTATATATTTATACCTTAACCTTTATATATTTATACCTTAACCTTTATGTATTTATACCTTAACCTTTATGTATTTATACCTTAACCTTTATGTATTTTTCATAACCTTTATGTATTATACCTTATCATTTATGTATTTATACCTTAACCTTTATGTATTTATACCTTAACCTTTATGTATTTATACCTTAACCTTTATGTATTTATATGTTAACCTTTATGTTTTTACCTTAACCTTTATGTATTTATACCTTAACCTTTATGTATTTATACCTTAACCTATATGTATTTTTTAAACTTTATGTATTTATACCTTAACCTTTATGTATTTATACCTTTACCTTTATGTATTTATACCTTAACCTTTCATGTATTTATACCTTAACTTCATGTATTTATACCTTAACCTTTATGTATTTATACCTGAACCTTTATGTATTTATACCTTAACCTTTATATATTTATACCTTAACCTTTATGTATTTATACCATAACCTTTATGTATTTATGTGGTTAACCTTTATGTTTTTACCTTAACTTTTATGTATTTATACCTTAACCTTTATGTATTTATACCTTAACCTATATGTATTTTTTAAACTTTATGTATTTATACCTTAACCTTTATGTATTGATACCTTTACATTCATGTATTTATACCTTAACCTATATGTATTTTCCTTAACATTTATGTATTTACCTAAACATTTATGTATTCATCTTTACATTCAGTTATTTGGTCAAAATGGCAAGTTGCATGTTATCATTGACTTTATATTGCTATTCAGATCATGCTCAGCACTGTTTTCTATTCAGTCAGTTATATTTTTGGAAATTTTTCCATAAAAAATGGTGAATGGCCTTCTTTAGCATAAAGATGGACATATCCATGGAAGATATTTAGCATGGTAAGGGCTAAGATCACAAGCTTTAAATTTACTTGTCTGTCCCTATTGCTGGTTATGAAGAATACTGCTGGGAGGACTTGTATTCATTAGTATGAACAGGCTATCCCAGTCTAAAAGTTAGATCAGTGGATTCACACCATGGTGCCCTCTAAATGACCAAAATAATTCATTAATTAAGCTCCCGCATTCATTCTCAACCAATAAATCATTGAATTTAACAACATTTCCTTAGAGCTCAACTAAATACTAATTCATCTGTACTAGAATACTGTTTCTTACTGATACAAAACCAATTTATTGTATGTTGTATTTTTTCTTTTTCAAAAAAGCAGGTGAACATGCCCATTTTGCCTTTATCATGTTATATTTTGTGTATAAATGATACTACATTGTAAAATGAACCTGTTCTTTGGTTTTTTACCAGTCCTCAGTAAGTGTGAATGACAATATATATAAATTTTTACATCAAATGGTCCAAATTTTTTGATCGAGGGATTTAACTCTTTAACTCAATACAGGACTTGAGTATTACCTCTAGACGCTTGCAGAAATCATGATAAATGAATAGACAAATATTTATTTTTTTGCAGATTCTTTAATTTTACATTCATTATCATACAAATATCGGTGTGAAAGATGCATACATGTGAACTTTTTTTGATGATCAAGTGGGATATTTTTCTTCAAAAAGTGGGAGATTTTAGAATTTGCAATAAACAAAGAAAGAAATTCTGACATCAAAAATAGGGAGATTTCTTTAATTTGTGAAAATACCCATTATTTTAAGAAAAATCTGCGAAAATATGGCTGAAGAAAGTGGGAGTCTCCCGCTATAAGTGGGAGAGTTCACATGTATGAAGATGATTGTTGGGTGAAAAGGCAAAATTTTAGGATTTAATCATCAGGTATATACAGGAAAACGGTATTTAAGGTGGTGCTCCAATCCTTTTTTAGTCTCACTCATTTAAGAGTCAGGTCAGGTACACAGATATGCAGTTTATTCTCATATTATATCTAAGAACTCAAATGGATAAAATATGGTTGACACGTTGCGCTCACCAATTCTTTCAAACATATCTGATTCTGGACATTATTGGATCTAATAGTAATTACGTTTCTCTCATAGTCATGGTTGCCATAGTTTCTGAATTAATCTCTGTAAAATTGCTAAATGTATACTGCTGTTTGTTTAATGATGATGTCATTAAATACTGTAATTCATTTCTAACATTAAACTAATAGCAAAAGCACGATACACATCATAGTTCTGATAGAAATAACAATAAAATTATAAAATGGAATTAAGAACTGTACAATATGTAGAGCTATCATCAATAGAGACGATATTGATTTATCCTTGATATTTTTCTGTCAATAATATAAACACATTTAATTTTGAAAAAATCAATTTTTATCCCCCGCCGAAAAATTTCGGCGGAGGATATAGAAATAGTCTCCGTCCGTCCGACCTTCCGTCCGTCTGTCCTTCCGTCCGACATTTTTGTCCGGAGCATATCTCTAAAAGTGTTTGAATTATCAACTTGAAACTTCATAGGTGGATAGACCTCATTGAGGAGGAGTGCAGTGCACAAGAATGATAACTCTACCTTGCATGATTTTTGAGTAATTGCCCTTTGTTATTTTTCAAAATTGATTTTTGTCCAGAGCATAATTCCAAAAGCCTATGAGATATTAACATGAAACTTCATAGGTGCATAGATCTCACTAAGGAGGTGTGCAGTGCACAAGAATGATAACTCTACCTTTCATAATTTTTTGAGTTATTGCCCTTTGTTATTTTTCATACCTAATTTTTCACCTGAGTGGAGCATAACTCAAAAAGTGTTTGAGATATCAACATGAAACTTCATAGGTGGATAGATCTTATTGAGGAGGAATGTTGTGCGCAAGAATGATAACTCTTCCCTATACAATTTTTGAGTTATTGCCCTTTGTTTTTTTTCATGCTATTTTGTCCAGAGCTTATCTGAAAAAGTATTTGAGGTATCAACTTGAAACTTCATAGGTGGATGAATCTCATTGAGGAGGAGTGCAGTGCACAAGAATGATAACTCTACCCTGCATAATTTTTGAGTTATTGCCCTTTGTTATTTTTCATTCTAATTTGTCCAGACTTTATCTCAAAAAGTATTTGAGGTATCAACTTGAAACTTCAAAGGTGGATGGATCTCATTGAGGAGGAGTGCAGTGCACAAGAATGATAACTCTACCTTTCATAATTTTTGAGTTATTGCCCTTTGTTATTTTTCATACCTAATTTTTCACCTGAGTTGAGCATAACTCAAAAAGTGTTTGAGATATCAACATGAAACTTCATAGGTGGATAGATCTTATTGAGGAGGAATGTTGTGCGCAAGAATGATAACTCTTCCCTATACAATTTTTGAGTTATTGCCCTTTGTTTTTTTTCATGCTATTTTGTCCAACGCTTATCTGAAAAAGTATTTGAGGTATCAACTTGAAACTTCAAAGATGGATGGATCTCATTGAGGAGGAGTGCAGTGCTTAAGAATGATAACTCTACCTGCATTATTTTTGAGTTATTTCCCTTTGTTATTTTTCAAAATTAATTTTTGTCCAGAGCATAACTCAAAAAGCCTTTGAGATATCAAAATGAAACTTCATAGGTGCATAGATCTCACTCAGGAGGTGTGCACTGCACAATAATGATAACTCTACCTATTATAATTGTTGTGTTATTGCCCTTTGTTCTTTTTCATACTTAATTTTTCAATTCATTTTTTTTCTCAAAAAGTATTTGAGGTATCAACTTGAAACTTCATAGGTGGATAGATTTTACTGAGGAGGGATGCAGCACACAAGAATGATAACCTACCCTGCATTATTTTTCAGTAATTGCCCTTTGTTATTTTCAGCCATCAGTATTCACATAGGTTTCAAATCTGTAATCACTATAGCCATCAGTTTTCATTACCAAAAGACCTCTTAAAATGGAATTATTCCGCTCTACTACATATACATTCTTCCAATGAGCAAACACATTCGGCGGGGGATGGCCATGTTGACATGGCTCTTGTTTTTTTTGGTTTTTTTATTTTTTATAAATTATGGAAATTCGTAAAAACATACATGTAATTCAAAAGCAGGTGGCCATGTCTAACACTAATCTGTTACATAATGGACACATTTCATAGCAGTGATGACAAAATATGGTCGAAAAAAATTTATCGATATATCAGTTTATCATCAATATTTTTTGCACCAAATCAATTACAGCTCTACCAATATGAATATTATGGAATTTAAATACATTTATCAAAATTCTAAATGAAAGGGACTCCACTGAGGTTATATATAATAGTGGAAATAGATTTAATTTTTCAAGATTTATGTACCATTTGATGTAGGTCTAGACCAATAACTTGTGTGTAAAATTTCAGATCATTTGAATAGTTAGTTTTTCCAGAATATTTTTTTTTATTGTGGAAAAATAACCCAAAAATAAAATGTGTTTTGCATGTAACTCAAATCTAGCAAAGAATCGTACAAAAATAAAATATTTTAATTTAATTTTACATGTATTTATACGGGGAAGTCAAATACCGGGCCTGCAAAGCGGGTCCGGGCTTTGGCTTGCCCGGCTATAGACTACACGTGTATATTTAAAAGAAAATCAAATAAAAAACAATTAAAAATATATAGAATTCTATACCTATCAATGAAATTTTCAGTGTCAGTTCTAGTCGGGCGCCGCCATTTACAATGTAACTCAATGATAATTGGCGGGGTATTCCGATAACGGAACAAATCTCAACTTTTCGGATAAATTATAATCATCCAGTGTTCCGAGTGAAAACGGAAGCGATGCATGTAATACCGGATGACACCTTTAAAACGGAAAGAATGAAAGGAATTTTTTAACGACTTCCCCATTCATAGACTTTGCCTAATTTCATATTATTTTTTTAAGACCTTTCACATAACTTTTAGTTTTTAGTGTCCAAGTTGATCTATGAAAGGACTTAAAATTTTGTGATTTTAGGCTATTTGCTGGAAGAGGATTTCTTTTATTAAAATCTAAAGCAATTAAGAGTCGTAATGTTCAGACTACATGTATATAGATGTGTAGGCTCAGGCCTGGGTCTACACTGTTATAAGAGGGAAGTTATCCCCCCCCCCACACACACACTCCCGACTAGCATTTTAAAAATAAGATAGAAAATCTTACCATATTTCCAATATTTTACTAAGTTTAAACATGATATTTTGCTGTTTGTTTGAAAATGTATTGCAAAATAAATGACAAAAACAGTACAAGCAAAAACAACAAGCACATTGTCTCTCCTAAATATTTGTTTGTAATAACATGTGACTTTGTTTAGTGAAAACTAATTGCATACTCTGTTTGTTATATGAAGCATTTATCTTGTTTATGCTATGTTTTTGCTCTGTTACTGATTGCTTTATCTATGATATATAATAGTATGCCATGCGATGATGTAAAATACAGTCATGTAAGATGTTTTATACATTTAATGAGTATTTATACATTAGGAAAACAAATATGCTCATCATTAAAACAGAGGCTGAATTCAATTTGAATTTAATTTGAATTATTATATCTATTGAATGTAATAGCGGTAGTTTACATGGAATTCTCCATCAGACCTTTTTTTTTGTAACCCTAAAACTGCTATTTTTTATTTGATTAGCCCTACTGTCTTTTGGGCACAGTCCATTACTAGTTAGGAGCAGTCCATTAGTAATTGGAAACAGTCCTTTAATAAATTAGATAGGAACAGACCATTAATAGTTTTAAACAATATAATGGAGCAGTCCATTAAAACATGTAGTTTAGGAGCAGTCCATTAATAGTTTAGGAGCAGACTCCATTAATAGTTTTGGAGCAGTTCATTAGTTGTTTAAGGAAATAATATAAACTTTTTACACAATGCGATTAAATAACATTATTTCTCTGTAAAATCAATTTGTATTTTGTCATTGAACCATTGTGTAAATTAAAATAAATAACTTATAAAACTCACTTAACTCAGACCTATTTTCAAATATGAGCAGTAGATTTTTATCTTGACACTGGGAACGAAAAATTCCTAATTTCATTGCAAACCTATAAAATTGTTGCTTTTTAAAGTAAAACCTGCCAGGATTAGTTTTCAGTAACTTTTTGTTTTGATCAGTTAACAAAACATTATTTTTTAATTTGATTTTTAAATGGTGATGTACTATATGCTAGATGCATGGTCGGTAGAATTAACTTGATCACTTGATTCAACCGAGACATCTTTTTTTGTTTTGGTCAGATTCCAGACCATTCTTTTTGAAAGACCCTGTGGTACAGTTTCCTAAAACAAAATCATTTGCCATTAAAAGCTGAACCATATTTTGCTTCTGTTGCTTTTCTTGCAAACAATATTTCGGTAGTTAAAATACCATGTTGTCTACCTTTTGCTACCTTTATCACAAATTATTTTACACCCACCACTTCATGTATTTACTACTGTCTTAAAGCATCTAACATGATTTTAATTTATTTTTGAATTAATACAGAACTCATTTTTGCCTTTTTAAATGTTATACAATGTAAGGCATTTCTGAGGCTTAAGCTCTTATAATATTTAATAGCATCTGAATGATATATTATAGGGCTGTCTGTCTATTCACTGTTTAAAATTTTATCAATGAATAGATGAAGTATAAAGCCTCCTATAAAAGTGTCTATTATTACATTTTATGGCATATTTATGCTAAGTTAAGTTCATGAAAAGATACAGCAGTATGTATTTTATAAGTCATATTATTTCAAGAACAGACTCTAGTTGAAATTAGTCAATTAATTTATTCTGTTTTTACTTATTGATTGGGATTAGAACATTTTTGCAGGCTTTTTTTATTTGAATTTATACAATGTTGAATAACAACAGCAGGTTTTTATAATGCTATGTGGCAGCTTGGACATCATTTCTTTGTTTTTATATCTATTTCATCTATTGTTCCTTTAAAGCTGCACACTTCCAGATGAGCCTAAATTTTTCAAGAAATTCAGTCTTTAGAAAAATGTATTAAGATCTTAAGAAAAGTAAAAAAGGTTCAATATTTAATTAATTATTTACATGTTATTTTGTTGTATCAGTCACTATAATTCTAACTGAGTTACTAAAGCAGTAAGAGATATTTATGTAGATTTTGACCTCTTTTTGGTAATTAACATGGATTGTAAGTGCCGTTTGCAATGTGTAAATTACTTTCCTTGTTCACTTCACAATATTTTACTTTTAGATACATTTTAAATATTTTCATGAAAATTAGCAGGAATCTGGAGGCAATGTGCTGCTTTAAGGATCATTAAAAATCTAGTGCTCTATGTAATTTAGCTTAGGAAATACAGTGGTCATGTGACCTATATAAACCAATCACAATTGACATAATAATTTGAAAGAAGTCTGATCTTGCAATGATTAACTTATGGTCTGACAATTAAAGGACGCTACTGAGGTTATTTAACATGACAGGAATGGAAATCTTTTTTTAAGATTTGTGTATAATTTTGATTTAGGGCTGTCTAGGATATTCCAGATTATTCCCTTACACTGTGATAATCCCAGGGTGATTATTTTACATTGCACTTGCGCAAAATGATTTAAACCTGAAAAATGTGTTAAAGCTTTTAAATGTCTTTAACTGAAATCTGGCTAAGAATTACACAAAAAATGGATTTCCTATTAAATTCTCTGTATATATATATATATATATTTGTTATCATTATTTGCATATATTTCCATTTATAGTGCCCCAGTTGATTGAAGGCTTTAAGATTTCATATTTTAGGATTTTTTGACCTCATTGAAACTTGTACTATATATTTTGTTATGTATTTACAGTGAGGTAAATGCAGTAAAGAGTGCCACTATAATACACTATGTTCAGGACACCATCAAGAAATTCCCTTTTAAATTCACGTCTCCCACAGACCAAGCTAGAATAATTACAGGACAGGAGGAAGGCACGTTTGGTTGGGTCACTGCTAATTATATCTCGGGAAAACTTGGAGTGGTAAAGTTCATTAACTTACTTTTTAGCCTCAACTAAATTCTTATTAGTTCATTGTCTCATTATTAAAGGCACATTATGCCTCAGCAGTCCATGTTTTTTTAAATTCTTTAGAAAGACAAGCATGTGTTTGATAATGTTTTTATAATGGATTAAAAGCATGTTAGATATTCAACAACTGAAAAAGTACCGCTGAACATGCAGTGGTGTGTCGTAAAGGAACTTGGAAGCAAAATGTAAACAAAGTAGTATTTTGTCTACCATTCAAAATTCTAATTCACTAAATACACCATTTGCCAACAGAGCAAAATAAGAGAAGAAAGTTTATGCATATGGCAAAGTAGTATTGCTTTGGATATTCGGACAAGATACCAAAAATGAAACGTTTTTGAGAAATAAATTTTTTAGCATTTCTGAGGCATAATGGGCCTTTAAGTCCAACTTGGGTACTTTAAGTTAAGTTTTCAGTTTAACTAAGAGTGTCATTTAGTTGAACTATATGAGCCACGTCACGACAAAACCAACATAATGGATTTGCGACCAGCATGGATCCAGACCAGCCTGCGCATCCGCGCAGTCTGATCAGGGTCCATACTGTTCGCTATCAGTTTCTCTACTTATAATAGAGTTGGTAAGCGAACAGCATGGATCCTGATGAGACTGCGTGGATGCGCAGGCTGGTCTGGATCCATGCTGGTCTCATACGCACTATGTTGATTTTGTCGTGACGCGGCTCATATGTAGTTGTTATTCAGTTCAAATAGATGTTTAGTCAGTTAAACTTGTTTTTCAGTTCAAACATTTTAATTGTTTTTGTTTTTTTTCAGTTAAAATAGTTTGATATTGATATGAGTGCTGTACAATATTATATAAAGAATGAAATCATTTGCAATACGATTATAATATTTAGTGAAGAGCATTTCTTTTAAAGTGGATTAGTCTGCTGTAAATGTGCACCTTTTCCTTAAGTATTTCCTTAAGTATTTCAAATATTGTAAAAAAAATAATACAAATGTGTTATCAGGATATTCTTTAAAAATACTGCTAGAAAAAAATAATAAAAAGTTCCAGTTGATTTGTTATGAACAATTTTATGATGAATGATGATATTTTGTCCTAGAACATTTTATTATCTGCTATATAAATACATGTACTGGTGGTATAATACCGTAAAATACCTAATAAACGCCCCTCCCCTAATAAAAGCCCCCCCCCCCCCAGGCTTTTGATATGGAAAAAAATCTGCTCATAAGTGGTGAACTCTTTAATAAATCCGTAATTTTATTCAAATCCTTCAGAATCGATTTTATTTTATAGTAAACACAAAAATGTATAAAATGAACTTTAAAATCTTAACACATTTTAATGTTATTACCAACCCATGTTACACTAAATGTATTTTCAATGATTTTTGGATTTAGGAAAAACCGTTTTTATGTGTTGTAATAATAGCCCCCTTTTTGGAAAATGTTTAGCCCCTGGGGGTGTTTAATAGGAATTTTACGGTATGTACAGTAATATATGAGTATGTATCTCTCACTTGGCAAGGACATTCGTACATAATTCTTCTGTGGTTTGTTGTTATGTCTGATACTAAATACTATCAACATAATTATTTATTGTAGTACAGACTGATCTTCCATAATTTAGACTGATTCACTTTAAGCTATATAATTCACACTGGTTTAATACAAACTAAAAGTAAAAAAAGGCAAGTATATTATTTTATTTATTATTAATAATAATACAAACATTTCCATGAAAAATAATAATTATTGCTTCAATACAGTACATAAATGTAAAAGTAATATTGCCTCAGAAGTAACATATCCATTAAGACATCTATGGAAATTACGTAATGATTTAAATGTCACGTCAGCTGGCGTGCTATTTCTGCAGACAGAAATAGTAATTACAATATACTATAACACTCAATAACAATACAGATGTTCTCGTAAAATACTTTAATAAATGCGTCTGCTCCGGCAGAGAGAATGTGTTCATAAAAAATCGTACAGATGCAAAACGATTCTGTTATTGATTTGTTTTGCATCATTTTTAAGTGTATAAAGAATAGTTCTAAATTTATAATCAAGAGTTTCAGAATTGATTGATTTATTGGAATGATTACCATGTCATTTTATAAAAATGGGCAACATCTGATCTGCATATTTTGTATAATTATTATTAGGGGCTTCTTTCTTAACTGTAAACAATATTAGTGTTTAGACTTAAGCTTTTGATTGTATTAATCATTTTAAAGTTTTCCATACTTCACTTCAGTGTTGTTATATTTTTCTGGTCCTTCGGGATCACTTGTAAGTGTTGAGAATTGGGTAGCGCTCAAGCCAGTGTTTGGGGGTGTTAGGGATGTTGCACTTTTTCATTATCCCTCATGTACAGACTCAATTAAATCGAGTCTGTAATTGTCATGTAATTTTGCTGTTTTTAATGCTTCCGAGGGATCATTTTTTTCCAGATATTTCTATATGGTTGTCTGCTTTGTTATAAAAAATCCCATCCATATGATATAACAGATATTCCTTAATTCAAAGCTGGACAAATTTCTAACATCTTATATACATTGCAATAATTGTGTGATTCAAAATGAATCTGCATCTCAAAAACTGGTCTCACTTCTCAAAAGGGAAAAAATTGGCCACACTTCCCAAGGGTTGAAAACTAGTCTCTCTTCCAAAGGGGTTGAAAACTGGTGTCACTTCCAAAGGGGTTGAAAACTGGTCTCACTTCCAAAGGGATGAAAACTGGTCTGACTTCCCAAGGGGTGTTTGTCTACTTCTAAGTCCCTCCTTTTCAATAACTGTTATTCGAATGAAGATAAACATATCCAATATGATCATTTTAGAATGGTAAATCAAGGACACTGTCACAATTTCTAACTAGGTAATTATGTTCTAAAATGTTTACAAAATATTTTCTAGACATATTGTTCTGTTAATTTCTTTATATTGATTTTATCTAATGGAACGTTATCAATTTCAGCATCTTTATGTTTTGAAGCTATATCAGTGACAGGCAATTGTTTTGTCAATAGATTTCAAGGAAACAACTTGAAATAACAAAACAATTTTTTTTTATTTTAAAAAGATCTTTTTTTCAGGTCCCAGAGTTTTCAATGTACAGGGAGCTTGCAAGGCCAGAGGCTACCATGGGTGCCCTAGACTTGGGTGGGGCTTCAACCCAAATCAAATTTTTTTAAGCTTTTGATCAAAAAAATATTCCCCCCGAATAAAAGGGAAGATTTTTCCAACTGTATGGAAAAAAACCTATTCATTTGAAATACCCATAGTTAATTTAGGGCAAATGGAAAAAAGAGGAAGCTGTGAGACGGAAACCAAAGGCTCGGGCTTGTAAAGGTAACAATTTTTTATAGAAATTTAATTGATTGAAAAATTTTTAAATTTTTTAAAATTTGGGTTCCCTTTAATAAATCTAAATATTATGATATTTTTTTTAAAAAATTTAAAAACTTTTTTATGTTTCAAAAAAAAATAAATCAGACTTTAGGATGGATACCAGATTCAATTTTAGCTGTATCAGACTAGATGTCCTGAGTGTCATAAACACAATGAAAGTAAGAGAAACACTTTCTCTTTTCTACTTTTAATGTCCAATTTTGTACATTTTTTATTTTAACTTTTACTGTCCAAAAAACATTTTCTCTCTAAAAACTTTTTACAACTAAATACATTTCACAGCAAAATCCTTTTCATATCTCAACAAATTCCCTTTCCTTTCTTCGTACAATCCTTAACTATTCTCTTAACTATTTCCTTTCTTTTCTTCGTACAATCCTTTATAATTCCCTTTGCTTTCTTAGTACAATCCTTTACTATTCCCTTTCCTTTCATCGTACAATCTTTTACTATTCCCTTTCCTTTCTTCGTACAATCCTTTACTATTCCCTTTCCTTTTTTCATACAATCCTTTACTATTCCCTTTCTTTGTACAATCCTTTTCTATTCCCTTTCCTCTCTTTGTACAATCCTTCACTATTCCGTTTCCTTTCTTCATACAATCCTTTACTATTCTCTTTCCTTTCTTTGTACAATCCTTTACTATTCCCTTTCCTTTCTTCGTACAATCCTTTACTATTCCCTTTCCTTTCATCGTACAATCCTTTACTATTCCCTTTCCTCTCTTTGTACAATCCTTCACTATTCCGTTTCCTTTCTTCATACAATCCTTTACTATTCCCTTTCCTCTCTTTGTACAATCCTTCACTATTCCGTTTCCTTTCTTCATACAATCCTTTACTATTCTCTTTCCTTTCTTTGTACAATCCTTTACTATTCTCTTTCCTTTCTTCGTACAATACTTTTCTATTCCCTTTCCTTGCTTCGTATAATCATTTACTATTCCCTTTCCTTTCTTCATACAATCCTTTACAATTCCTTTTCCTTTCTTCATACAATCCTTTACAATTCCCTCTTCTTTCTTTGTACAATCCTTTACAATACAAAACTTCTGTCTATTTATACAATGATATCATGAAAATAATGTGAATATAATGTGGCGGGAATTAAATTGCGGGAAATTTATTAGGAGCAATGTAATATCATAAGACTTTGCCATGCAAATCAAAGGAGCAAAAAAACTGAGTATGAATATACAATAATATTATAAGAAGCATATTCAGAGAACAGCATTGGAATACAAATATTCAAAATAATCGCTATGTTAGCGGCATTGAGGTCATAATTTCAATCCTATTGGAAACGGTATAAGTAAAGTCAGTTACAAAACTAATGAATCATTGGTAAGTTGGATACCTCGGAAATACAGGATCGCTGATTTATATAATTGTCCATAAAAACAAAAAACTTGCAATCACATAAATATTAAGAGGTGTGACATGAAATAAATGTAAAAACTTTTCACTGATGATAAAAACAAGGTCAACAGCCAGCAATCAAAAGGTACAGAAGAAGTATGATTTTCAAGAGAGAAAATATTGTGTTTTTTGTTGTTTTTTGTTTCTTTTTCAAAGGATTATAAAACTACTTAAATGATGCATTAGATTACGTGTTTATCTCACTACAATAAATATGTTACAGTCCCATAGGAATTTTATGTCTGACAATTTAATTCAATATGAAGATGCAATTTCTATCAATAATTTAGAATATTTGTTCCACTTCTTGTAACAAGCATAAATATCATAAACATCGCCTACTGCTGGCTAGACATTTACATGGCATAGTTTATTTTGATAATTTCTATCCATCTAGCTTACAGAAGGTCCATTATATTGCGTTTTTCCCAGCTAATCTGAGGGTACAAACAAACTTTCACATTTACAACTTCGAAAATAAGTGCAACAGAATGACTTCTCTATTGTAAATGGTAGTGTATGGTGAAGCTGTAGCACTAAAAGTTTGTTTATACCATTTGTACCGGGGGTGGGGGTTGTTGGGGAATTATTCAGGGAAAAATACATTTATGCTCTTTTATTCATTGAATAATACAAATTTATGTTCTTTTATTCTGGGAATGATATATTTCTTTTCAATTATTCAAGGAATAATACATTTATATTCTTTTATTCAAGTTATAATAAATTTATTTTTTATGCAAAAATAATACCTTTAAATCCTTTTTTCAGTGAATTATAAAGACATTTATATGTCTTTTTTATTTAGAGAATAAGAATTTTATTCACTTTTATTCAGGGATAATAAGACATTTATGTTCTTTTATCCAGGGAATAATAAATTCATGTTATTTTATTCTGGGAATAAGACATTTATGCTCTTTTGTTCAGGAGATAGTACATTTATGTTATTTTATTCTTTGAATAATAAATTTATGGTATGTTCTTTTATTGAGGGAATAAGGCATTTATGGTTTTATTTTCTGGGAATAATACATTTATGTTCTTTTATTACAGAATCAAGGCTATAATGAGACAAATATAACAAACCCCTGTGGTCCAAGCGGATACACCTTTGAAATATTGTCCAGGGATATTTTTGAAGCTCCTTGTGTCAACAGATATACAAATGAGTTTTTACAAATCTACCAACTTAGCAATACACTTGATGTAAGTTCATTTCTAGTTTGTGTACATTATAAACAAATTGTAATGCCGGTTGTTGATGGATGGTCCTGTCCAAAGTTTATTATCAGTTTGCAGTTAAGGTGTTTGCTGCCAAACTCAGGGATTATGTGTTGCAAGTACATGTATTACAAAGGTCTAAATTATTTTTTTGTCATACGACACTGGCACTAAGTACACTATCAGGTAGCAGACTTTAGAGCGATTTAAACTGAGCTAATGATAATAGAACCTGTCAAAAATCTTTATAACTATATATAAAAGTTTTCTCAGGTCACATGGGTGTGCTGATTTTACACTTTCTAAGCGGTAAGATGAGAAGTGGTATTAAAGGTTTGATGTCTTGTACCAAATTACATAACGTCATTACACCATTGTGAATGAAATTATAACTTTATATGCTTATGTTAAGAAATAAATCTAAAAAATGTGAATTTCCGTTATATCTTTTTTTTTTAACTTTGTTATATGATTAATATGACATCTGCAGGTAAAGGAATCATAAAGTGGCTGACATCACAGAATACTATAACAAGCTCATGAATAACTGTTATAGTAACTTGGCAAAGCCTTTTATATCTTAAGCCACCTTAGGCAATTACCCTTATTTCGGTCTGTAGTTGAGCCAGTGTACAATTCTTATTATCTCCCCTGGCATTCCATAACATCCAGTAATAAAATTAAGGATGATAAATAAACCAAATAATTTTATGATTTCAGGCGACCAACTTTACGTTTATAGGTACAGGAGATGAGGAAGAATGTAGAGCAATAGTAAAGTCATTGTATAATTTTAGTGCTCCATGTCCAATGGAACCGTGCACATTTAATGGAACGTATCAGCCGCCAATCCAGGGAGATTTTTATGTTAGATTTTATTGTTATTTTTTACCCTGCTATTGTATAATGGGCTTGTCCAGTTTTGAAATTAGAATAGTATTGGTATAGTGTTATAAAATATGCTTGATTTAAGCAGTCAAAAGTATTAGTCTGGGCAGATTGGTTGTATGATGCTGACATGGGTAATACCTAAAGCAGAAACCCAGGAATTATAAGTTTGAGCTTTATTGGAGTGCCAGTACAACCATATTTTCTTATATTAGTTAAAAAAACGATGAATGTAATACATTTAACACATTTTGGATAACTCCTGCCTAGTTTTATGAACCTATGATTTTAAAAGTTGTTTCCCTTTGATAAAGTATTGTTTTGATTGATATCAATTGTTATTTCATTGAACGGGGAATAATCCTGCCATCTTAATTACAACCTAGACACAAAACAAAGTTGTTACCTTCATTTCCTTGCATAAATAAATGTCATGCAAAAAAACTAATTTTTAAAGTCTGAACTACATTGTACTAGTATTCAATTATAAATGGAAAGCAGGTAAAATATTCTTGAAGAATATTTTGATATAAACTTTCAAATACTCTTCTGTCTAGAACACATTTTTAGGCACAGAACGCTAAAACTAATTGTTTGTTTTACTTATATTTCTTTATTTTCAGGCTTTTTCCAGTTTTTTCTACGAAATGGATTTTTTAAAATTAACAAATAAGAAGGCATCATTAAAGAAATTCACTACAGAGTTGACAATACTGTGTAATAAATCGTGGGAAGAGGTATTACTTTGATTATTTATTTCAATGTAGTTGACAATGTAATCTTTGAGAGGCTGCAGTTGGCCTTATGGTCAAGGTCACAGGTGTGCAGATATAGGTTTGCCTTATGGTCAAGGTCACAGATGTAAAAGTAATTGTCTTTCAGTGCTGTAGGTTCAAATGGTTCATGAAATTAAATGACTACCACTGATGAACACTAGAAGGTTAAAATTGCAATCTTGCAACACATTCATTTTCTAACATTTAAGTGATTTTCATTGTTCCCGAGACAGACAAATGGTGATAAGAGCCACATTATCTTTTTGTTCAGTAAGGGTAACAAACCTCAATTTTGTCTTGTGTGATCATTATGAAATTGTAATTTTTTGTCTGTAGTAAAAGGTGTAAATAAGAGAAATATTAACCAACTGGGGTGATATTTTAACAGTCTTTTAACAGTACCAATATATATTTTAAAACATTAAGCAAATCAGTCAATGGCTGTCAATTAGATGCCAGCATAAAACCATTTATGTAGTCAGTAGTTGCTTTGGTTGAGGGGTTAGAGTCGATGACTTCTAATCCAGTTACCTCTCTGGTGTGGGTTCGATCCCCCGGAGATGCTTTGGTAGTTTAGCGCGGAGGAAGGTAGTCTAGTACTGGTGTAACTCTCCAGGAACGATGGTTAGGAAACTACCCGCCCATATGACTGAAATACTGTTGGGGAAAGGCATAAAATTAAGCAAACAAACAAACAGTATTTGCTTGTCCCATTGTCCCAGAATGTTCTAACTTCAGACTTGTATTATTTTATAATATTGTAAGGTGTTTTATTTTCAGGTTTCCCACTTACCAGCAGGTAAAAATGGCAGTATGTTAGGGTGGTATTGTTTTGAGGGACATTTTATTAGAACATTACTGGTAGATGCCTACAAGTTTAATGATGATACTTGGGAAAATATTCATTTTGTGCAAAAGGTAATGTTTAAGAAATTTATTTGTTGCTATGTAAATAGTTTCAAAACCGAGAAAAATGGTTAATGTGAGCGATTTAAGTTAAAAATTGCTGATTTTGTTTAAGAAAGTATTTTAAATTTCCTGTTTACAGAGAAAGGAAGTGTAACTATTATTATTATAACAATTTCTGCCATGTACCTGACTCCTATATTTCTCATTAGATCATTTCAATCAAAATTTTGCAGAATGGTTCTCATCCATATTCAATTGAAACTTACAATACTTATTTCTAGTAACAATGTACATCAGATTGACTAGTTGGATAACTCTGCCTACAATATTTACAGAATTATGCCCCTTATAACTTAGAAAATTTGGTTAAAGTTTTTTGTAAAGTCAGATATCTCAATTATTGTGACAACTCTATCGAATAGTCGAGCATTGCTGTCCTCCGACTGCTCTTGCTTTACAGAGTTATGTAACTTTTTTTTCGAATGTATGTCAAAATATTGTCAGAAAATCTGGTTTTATGTTACCTATTTGTAGTTTATTGTTTTAATATGGAACAAAACAGGGCTAAGAAATAATCATATCTTATAATGACCATCATAATTATTTCTATTATTTTATTATATTTCTTTTGCTATTTCAGATAAATGGTACAGATATAGGTTGGACATTGGGCTATATGTTAAACTCTAGTAACGCAATTCCAATAGTTGGCCCAGAACGTTTTATTTCAACCACAGCTTTTTCATCGTTGACTGTTTTATTTGCTATATTTGTATTACTATCAGTGGCATTTGCTTGTTATGCCAGGAAACACCAACAACAAAAGACGTTGGGATTATACGAGAGGGTACCCACTTACGGAGCTGTGTAATAAATAAATATCTCAAATTTGCTACACTGGAAATATCGTGAAAATTGAGAATGGGAATGAAATGTTTGTAAGGCTTCCAAATAGTGAAACTCTTCAAAACACATATTGTGAAACTTAAAAAAAAAATAAGATTTTAAAATTCAGCTTTTGTTTAGAATGAATAGAAATGTAAACAACATTGTAGACAAAATCACAACTAAAACGGCGTTGAATTACTACTCACATACCCCACCTACCTGACAGCTGATAAGCCTTTCATAGATTTGTGGAAAATACATGTATCTGCAATGCAAACCTGTTAAGTTAATCATCAAAAAGTGCTACATTTTAATATTTTGTTTCTCTGTGTTATATTTAATCAAAATGATATTTTTAAAGGGAAATAGCATATCAATTTGATGTCTGTTAAACTTTGTGTTTTGTCATTAAGTCTTCAGCAATGATCATTATCTTACTAAGTTGATATGTTTAATGTATGTATACTTTTTAACAATTTATTTATTATATCACATTCCAATTGAATGTAAACTTGTGAAGAAAGATATAGAATGTCATATTGTAATGTAATATATGTAGTAATGTTAAACACAGTTCTGAAAATGATAAATACAATTTTGTAATGATAAACAAAATGTTGTAACAATTTAGCAATGATAAACACAATCTAGTAACACGCCTACTAAACGGTGGCTCTTTCACATTTTGGTGATCTGTTTAAATGAGAGCCATCGACACATCCGTTGCAGAGCCCTCGATGAAAACAAGGCTGACAGAGGTAAGAAATTTTAGAAAAAATATCAATTTAAAAAGATCATGCTTGTTTTTCAAAAATCGAAGAATGTCATGCCACGTAGAACATTTTTCTCATCATGTTGGGTGCAGTTTCGATAAGAAATACCCTGAAATGACGTTGCTAGAACTTTTACCAAATAAAAGCCTTGTTTTCATCGAGGGCTCTGCAACGGAAGTGTCGATGGCTCTCATTTAAACAGATCACCAAAATGTGAAAGAGCCACCGTTTAGTAGGCGTGATATATGCAATGTTATAAGGATAAACACAATAGCATACTGATAAACAAAATGCTGTCATATAAATACAATGCTTTACTAATAAAATATAATTCAGTAATGATAAACAATGTCATAACAATGAACAAAAAATCATAATGATATAAATAATGTAGTTATTATTAACACAATGTTGAGATGAGCACAGTGTTATTGATGTTGTTGTTTAGATCTATGTAATTTAGTTTGGTACCTTATGATTAATTTATTCATATAGCAATTTTGACTGCTGACTTTTATAAATGAAATATAGAGTTTATAACTTTCATAAGGAAATAAAGACTGGATATTAATCATATTTATTCATCTTTTTAATGTATGCTTATTCAGAATATTAATCATGTGTATTCATCTTTTTACTCTATGCTTATTCAGAATATTAATCATGTGAATTCATCTTTTTACTGTATGCATATTCATAAATTGCATGAATATTCATACAGTAAAATGATGAATACACATATTGGTATACATGAATACAAATAATTAATATTAGGTCTTTATTATTCATTTTTTTACTGTATGAATATTCATATATTGCATGAATTTTCATACAGTAAAAAGATGAATACATGAATATACATAATTAATATTAAGTCTTAAGTTACTTCATATTTTTACTGTATGGATATTCATATATTGCATGAATATTCATACAGTAAAAAGATGAATATACATGAATACACATAATTTATATTCAGTCTTTATTTACTTTATCTTTTTACTGTATAAATATTCATATATTGCATGAATATTTGTACAGTAAAAAGATGAATAAACATGAATACACATAATAAATATTCACATATGGAACATTGTAAACTCTGACAGAGTGAGTACCCATAAACTGCAGATTCGTTATAACTGTGATAAACAAAACATTTTTCTTGTTTTATTTTTGTGTCAGTGAATGAATTGGTTAACATATGTCATGCTCATAGAACTGGCTTGATAAGCAGGAATAAATCTTAACAAAAGAATGTATTGAAAGGATTTATTGTTTAACATTTGTTGTTTCTAGTCCAAATCATATAAAATAATAAAAATCTGTCCCTACCTCATGTACATGATATAACTGAAAAATAGGATCTGTATATCTTTCTTTTTAAAAAGGTAAAACTTTGTTTATGTTGGTATAGAGTTTATTGTCAAAATATTCATTTCATTAGGGTGATTTTCTTATTTACTTTTGTATTAACACACAATTAACATTTGATAAAACTTTGTATGTTTCAACATTATTAAAATCTTTATTCTTTATTTATAAATGAAATATTGAGAAATATTGAAGAATATGTATTTTCGTTTTCTGTCTTTTCACTTTAAAAAATTATTTTTCACTGCAGTGAAACATATTTTCAATACAATGTATATGCACTGATGTATTGCCAGACTATTTTCCTCTAAATTCAGGCAATATACAAAATTTAAGTGAAAGTCTTTCAAATTATAATGTCAAAAAAGAGAGAAATGCATTTAATAAACAGAAAATTCAAATTTTTTCTATAAATACAGGATTTATTTTCATGATATGCAAATTATCATATTTCACTTGTGGCTCTCACCACTCATGAAATATAGTTTTTCATACCACTCGATGAAAATAAATCCTGCATTTATAGAAAAAAAATTTAAATATCCTTTATTTATTTCCTGCAAACTGATGAAATATTGCAATCAATCAGTGAAATAAAAACCATATAACTCACTGCATATAACACATACTGTGAGTGATATAGCTTTGACAAACTGTTTGTTGTTGTCTTGCATGTAAATTTTTATGTTTGTGTAAATTTACATAAAACTTAATTGTTGTTTTGTTCTTTATGGAATATTTGTATGTTCAGTTATCAATACTGCTCTAAAATTGTAAAATGTTACAAAAACTCATGTTATAGCTGTTTACCTTGTATTAACACAGAAAACCATTTGTGAAACTACAATTTACAGTAAACATCATATTTATTCAATTGTTGTATTACTTTACACACATAAATATTTATTTTGCAATGTTTTTATCAAACTTGGAATTTATTTAAGAAAATAAATTTAGAGTGTATGTTTATAATGCTTTGAAAGAAAATTTCAAAATTAGTTTCTAACTAAAAATGTTGTTTTTAAGTAGAAAAAAAGTGAAATGGACTGAATAAAAAAGTAATATGGACTGAGTAAAAAAGTAATATGAACTGAGTAAAAAAAGTTATATAATGTGGAGTGAGTAAGACTGACAAGTATGGATAAAAAGGGGAAAAACTTGAAGACAAATTCTCCTGAACTCTTGAATTGGTATGAACATAATTTGACAGATGTGTCATGTGTTAAACATTGAATGTGCAATTTATCATTTTTATATCATTCCTGTAACATGTGTTTTTGTTTGTTTCATTTTGTTGAAAATAGAAATGTTGTAAGGTTGTAAACTTTAAGATACCTTATGTAGTATGTAGTAAACATTATTTTTTTCCATGTTTAACATCAAGCCAGCTGTTGGCAATGGATTCTACCCATATGACCAGTGCTGACCAATATCAGCAAGTGCATTTGTTTCATCTGATCATGGTCTCCACTGTTCAGTACATATGAGCCGCGCTATGAAAAAAACAACATAGATTTTTTGCAAGTAGCATGAATCCAGACCAGCCTTCACATCCGCGCAGACTGATCAGGATCCATGCTATTCGCCAATCAGTTTCTCTACTTGTAATAGGGTTTGTAAACGAACTGCATGGTTCCTGATCAAACTGTGTGTATGCGCAGGCTGGTCTGGATCCATGCTGGTCGCAAATGCATTATGTTGGTTTTGTCATGGTGTGGCTCATATTTATTATTTCCCTTAAATGCTAAATGGTTTAGTCTAGATTGAAACATGGACAAGTCCATTTAAGATATTTAGCATGGAAAGTGTGATTGGCATTTAAGTTTTTAATGTACATTAAATAATAAGACTATTTGCTAATTAGAATCTAAACAAATACCATATGTAACAGATATGCAAAAGTTGAGGGTTTGCTTTGATGTAATCTATAAAACATTAGTATTCTAGTGGTGTACCAATCTGACCTTCAATGGAAGCTGACTACTGTATGTATATATCCCTGACCTGTCTAATTCTTATAATCAGATTATTGGATACAATAAGAATTTCACCACAGAGTAGGGATCTATCAATTATACTGGCTTTTAAACTTAGATGTTTGGATAGATAAATTTCTGAAGCTACAATTGAACAATTCAAAATCTCAAGACTGAGGCAAGAATAACCACCTGTCTATTATGGCACTGAACCTTACCTCCAGTAGAGTGTTAGGAGTTTGGTGGGGATAAGCCAATTTCTATTCTCTGTCTGTCCTTGATCTGCAGTGTGCTTAGTGTTGGTGCAAGAATAAAGCCAAGTGACACAATAGTTGGTTAGAACTTTTACTTGGAGGAAGGGTTTGAGTCCAAATTTAACTGCTGCATTAATGCTAGACATCTTACGGATAAATGAAATTAATGATGGTGAGAATATTAATATAAATTGCATTAAGCTTGATGATTATAGGCTGTTTTTCATACATCTGTGATGAAGTTGTTTAACTACATTTTATGTTTCATTGATATTAGTTTATGTTTTATTGATATAGCTAATATTTTGTTGATTAAATAAACAAACCTTTATGTAATAAAGAAATTTATAATTTTCCATCAGAAGTTGTTAAAACTGTGTTGTAATTGTTTCGTTGTCCCACATTTCACAGGTAATTGTTTTTGAGTAAATTTCCTTCTAGCCAATATACCTTTATGACACAGAATTGTAATTTAGAAAAAAAAAGCAGAAATTCAGCGTTGTTACATTGTGTTTTTGATAACTGTTCTGTTATTTCTGTACAGTAGGGACTGAGGGCATATCGTTACCTTAGTGCAATAAATAGTTAACTCCTATCTAATTTAGAAAGGCTTAACCCGTTACAACACTAAGGTGACAAATTATATGTTCCCCCTTTACCAGTGAAATCTTGGACGGTTTCTCTTTACAGTGTCTTAACCTATGGATTTTCTCAGTTTTAAATTTGAAATAGTCTATTAAAACTTTATCGGATTTCAATGCTATAATATAAAAATCCAGCCACTAACGGTAAAGAACCTGGTGTAAATAACGGCAGTGCAGCCTGTCCTGGCTTTTTACTGGTGTCAAAGGCTAATCATTTACAGTTCGTGGCATTTGCAGTTAAGGCATAAAACAAAACCAAAAAAGTATTGCCATAGACTTAAAATCTGTTGCAATAATGATGATGTGGCTTGCCATTCTTGTAAACTTTACTTTGATAAGAAGCAATGTTACTTGGGAATTTGCAGGCCTATATGAACCAGATTAGGACTGACTGATTTAAAATAACACTTGTCAAAAATAACACTGTCACGGCGTAACGGAAAACAAAATGCTACATTAATGTAAGAATAATTTAATTAATACACCACAAAGAGATTTCGGTAATATTATAACAAGTTCATTTAAAAAAGATAAAGACTGGTGCTTTACAACACGTGTACTTGTAAGCGTTAAAAGTCTAGACCTTGCACGTTAACCGCTGGTTTGTCTTTTGGATACACAAAACCAAGTCTTGTCACGTGAGAAGCACTTATTTCCTCTCTCTGTTCTACCCGTGCATCTAGTACTTGATCCTGATTTTGGCCGACCTTTCTTTTACTGTAAAAAGTGATAAAAACCTCACGTAGTCACGTAGTCTCGTTTACAATATAATACACGATGTTTTTCTTATGTATTTAAGTTAAGAGACAACGTTTGTATTGAAGATGAATTCAACCCAGCTTGAATTAAGGAGACCAATGTATGCAGAATCTCAAGTACATGTATGTCGTCTTGTATTCTTTAGTCAGCGTTTACTTAAAAAATATCGTCATTAAGACCCGGTCACACCGCAAGAACTTCCCTGGAGCGTTCCTTGAACGGTAGGGAGAGGGGACCGAATTTCGACAACGCTCGTCACCGCACACAAAATTGGAACAAAAATCGAAAACACGGGCGTTGCCTTAGCGGTGCACCGCTGAAGCCGACGTTGCAAAAGCGTTGGCTTAATTAACGGTAGCGCGGTCACGCGAGCGTTGATAGAGCGGCGTTCTACGCACGCGGGCGACAGCTCGGCGGGTGTTTAAAGTTGGTTAAGCGGCATATCGCTTTTGACTAGCTGAACGGATCGCTTTGACCACCATCAACTTGTCATACAGTCCATGACCAGGCCTCCTCAGTATCCACTGTCTGACCCCCACAACTCTGTCTCTCTTTTTCTTTTCTGTCAACAGCTTGTTGCAATCTGAGGAGGTTCTGATTCTGCTGCTAGACTAGCGCACCAATCATAGCAAGTCTCTCGGCATCCATGATAGTACAGTTTAACTGTAACTTTGAGCAAATTCGATGTACTCAACGGCAGCTCGATTCCAAATGGGCTTTTGGTCCATTTCTCCCCTGTTATTATAGCTAAATTTTGGTCCCGCTCCGACACCTCCTTACCAACGCCAAACCAAAGTTCATCACCGCAATGGATAGCTGCTTCAACGGCCAACACCGTTCCAGCAATCCCGTGTGCACTCGTAAAACGCTTACAACCTCTCCATCATAGTTTGTGCAACGTTTAATTACCGCTCGTGCAAAGCTGGCGAAGCAGCGCTGGTCCAGCGTTTAAGATTTCTGCGTTGGCCTAGCGGACCCAAATGTCCACGAACTTTGTCTAGCGGTACCAAACTTGACTGGGCGTTGTTGGAGCTGTGATTTGTTAACTTTGTCGGAGCGAAAATTTCCCGCTCCTAACCGCTCGCAATATTTTGTGCAGCTCAAAACTTTCGGAGCGGTAGGAGAGACTATAACCGGTGACCGAGCGTATACGGCATTGCCTTTACGGAGGCCAACTTCTGGTGAACGGTAACGAGCGGTGATGAATTATTTTCACCGTTCCAGGAACGCTCCATCAAAGTTCTTGCGGTGTGACCGGCCTTTAGATTGCGTATGTTTTTATAAAGTTTTCTGGGGAGCGTAAATACAGGATATCGAATGAGTGTAGGTATTGAACGAGATTAATAAATTCAGTAACGAATCTGTTTAAACTGCAAAAGAATCATTTTTCTTTGACACACCTATAGTGTAACATAACAGTTTTCGCGTTTGTATCACGCCAATTAGTCACATCAAAATTATATGCATGGCCGTACGGAGTCACAAATGCGACACGTGTATGTGAAAAATACAAATAATAATTGTAAAAGACTAAGTGCACCGTTTCAAAAACGTCTGCATTGGAACATGTATCGACACTGTACACACATTGAGGTAACTTACTTTCATGAACATTAAATACGGCACAATCTCCTTTATCTAACAAAAATTTGACATTGCTGAATAAAACCATCTATGATTATTCTACACAGTTGCATATACTAACCATTTCTTTTTTGAAGCGTAAATGACGTAAGCGAGGAAGAGCAGCAACAAAAACGAGCCAACACTTGCAGCTATAACCGTAATCAGTTTCTTTCTCCCTGTGTCAACTAAAATATAAACAGTAAAATAAAACACTGTCATAGTGATAACAAAAATCTGAAGTTCAGTAAAATAATAAGTACGAGTATGTGCAATGTAACTATATGAGCATTTCTTGAAATGATAGTTTGAATCAATCGGCTAAAATTATACTTTTAATCTACCATTAAAACACAATAAATTTGCATATAAACTACCTTCATTATTAGTGGTTTGTTCTTCACAAGAAAAGTTCCCAGGCTGATTCATACAAATTGAGGATATATTGCACGGATTGCTTGCACATTCGTCTAAGTCCACATCGCAATTCATTCCCTCCCATCCGGTCTCGCATAGACACTGGTATGAGCCGTTATTATTTATACATGACCCGTAATTTTTGCACGGGTTTTTGGTGACGCATTCATCTATGTCATCAAAACAGTTTGGACCTTTCCAGCCGTCTTCACATGCGCATGTAAAAGATCCTTCAGTATTCAAGCAAACTTGGCGATCTTTGCACGGATTTTTCGTACATTCATTGACATCTATGGTACAATTTTCTCCTTCCCAGCCAGTTGTACACAAACATTTTAAACCCCTACCTCTTCTTTTACAGTTTTGATTCCGTCCACACATGGAGCTGATAATGACAAAAACAGTTCTTTAATTCTTAATTCATTGTATTAAATTCATTTTGGTGCAAATAAGTTTTATGGACATTTTTTTAACTCAGGTAAATCAGTTAACCCATTACTTCATGAGCATTTTGTGAAAAATGGCTGTTTTCATTGAAAAGTCTCCCGTTACAAGTTCAAATTGCTATAAAACTATAAAAACTGCTTCAATACTAATCAAACTTGGCACAAGTTTTGACTGGACTATTGCTTTTGCAACAACATGCTCAGGCTTAAATTTCCTGTTACCATGGCATCGAGGGAACATCTCAAAATTGCCAAAAATCACTATTTTGCGTTGATTTTTTTCCATCAAAATTGATTTCAAAGTGCTGCTACTTCTCAATAGATTGAGATAGAGTCAAATGCTCTTCAGCGTTGGTTACACGTTACCTTATGATCGATCTGGGGTCATTTTTAGCCTCTCACAAGTCCAAAATTTTCTTGGCGAATTTATTTGGTGGGGGGCCGCGCCGAAAAAGTGGTCACTTTGTTAAACAACAATTTTCAAACAAAAACAAGTGTTGGGGGCCTAAATAAGGCATATTTTTCACCATTTAAGACAACAAAAAGGAGGGGGGGGGGGGTGAAAAAGGCGTTAAAAGGCGTGTATATCGCGTAATGGGTTAAACAACCAGATTGTAATTAAGAAACTTCATACGTAATGCACACAACACCATCACCACAACCGGTACAAAGTGGGTAAGTTGGTTTTTACCAACCGCCTTTCTCCACACTGACGAATCAATGCAATGTTTTTAAGCCCAAAGTTCGCGGGCCAGTGCACTTATCGGAGTACTGAACCGTCTGACTGTTCTGTAAGGATGGTCATTACCAAAGGTTCCATATTCCAAAAAAGTTTAAACTATTCCATAGGGATGACATACAACGTTAAACTGACTTGATCCATTTAAATCTGTCAATAATTTTAGCAGATTGTAACACTTTAAAAGTTGTATCTTATGTTTTACGGTTAAGTCATATTAGAAACGCTTTATCGCGCAATAATGCAATGTATGTTTCAGTTCATGTAACAGTTCATGGAATATAATTTGCATTAGAACTTGTTGAAACCTTTCTAGACTGTCCTCTAGATAATTCTAGATACACCAAAAGAAGTCGCAGTGCTTTAGATAGAATATTAAAGATACAAGCAAAGTACATATTATAAAACCAGTATGAAATAAAACATGACACGTACTCATTTAAACATTGGTCTTGGCACATATCTCCCATCCATCCAGGTATGCACTTCCGGTAATTTATATCCGGACTGGTTTTGTTCTCGCAATGGATATCGAAGCTATTTTCCCAACCTTGTAAGCAATCGCACCTGGGACAAAATATACTAACAAATGCAATGATGTTGACATAGTAATTTGCATAAATTGCTGCCATGTATTTGTTGTCCTAAAGAAAAAGAATTTGAAAGTCTTCTTTATCTACGAAATCCTAGTAACATAGCAGTATCAGACGTAAAAATATTTAAGCAGTATAGGTCGACCTTATCAATATTGCTGCTTGAGCATTCGTCACTTATTTTTGGAAGAAGTCTCTGTGACCAATTGGTTAGAGTCGCAGATTTTGGTAACTACGCAGAAACTGCTTTCACCACTGTTAGTTCAATTTCCATCAAATATTTTGAATTCTTTTTCAAGTTTGAAAATTATCTGGAAGTTCATTAGTTCTACTGAAGTAACCGGAAGTTCCTATCGACACATCACCTTTATAATTGTTAGTGTGTCGTAACCTCAAATAAAACAGAAAAACTTTAACCTGCCTTTATAATTGTTAGTGTGTCGTATCACATCAAAAATAAAATAGAAAAACTTTAACCTGCGAAATGAATCATTAGCAGTTAGCGAAAGATGGTAGGATTTCCCACACTCCTTTTAGAAATTAACGAAGGAAAACATATAATCTGACCGTTTGTACATCCGAATTATTCCGCTTATCATTTAACGTGAGATGTGTCATGAGTCAAAGTTGTCTAAGATTTTAACCATTATTGATGTAAGAAACGGTACAAACAAGAAGTGCAAATAAAATAAAATGATATATGACCTCCAGCAGATATTTTTGGCGTCATTGCTGTGAAGTACAATGTATATACTTACTCCCAGCTTCCAAATGTATTGCGGCAATGTCCTCTATGGTAGCAAGGGGAACCAACCTCACATTCGTTCACATCCTCCTGGCAGGTGACGCCCTGTTTTTAATGGTATGTCATAGTTTAAATAAAACTCTCATACATATAAATCCGTGAGATTTAGTCTGTTTACATGGACAACATACCGGGTATATAGAAAAAATATGTTTCATAATGCGGGCAATGTATGCAAGCCGTTCCTCTTTTATTTGATATACCCGGTCGCTTGCACATTTTTTCTCACAAATTGTCAATTTATAAACATTTATAAACCAATTCTAATTAGAAAAAAATAGAAACTATGAGCAACTACAAATAGATATCATTGCGCATATTCAAAGCATATATTAGAAATGTATTTTAAAAGAGGTTAAATATAAAGAATTTGTTACAATTGTTTTGATTTTATGACTCTATACCGTTGATAGCTATTTTTTGTATTTTGAATTTTTGATATTGAAATCCCCTATAGCAAAATACTTTACACAAAATAAGTAGGTTAAAACAGTGCTCTCTTGTATCACCAAGTATTAAACACATAATCATTTCTGTAAAAGCATCATTTATATTCCAAATGGATGTTTTACTAACAATTGAGATATTTTATTGTAGGAAAGGATATGTGCTCGAAATATACTTATTTTCTATTAGCGCCAGAATTACATCAATCTATTTACTATCATAACTAAAATCCTGACAACATGCATGCCATTATGCATTGATCCTCGCAACAATCACAATACATGCATATATTTAGAACTATACAATTTTATTCAACAAATGAAACAAACGTGAATGCGTAGGACATTACCTGGAAATCTCTCTTTTTTTCGAAATTAAGAAAACTGTTTTCTAATCGACCAAATGTCTGTATACAAGTTTATTAAAGTTTATTTTATGTGTTTTGGTATAGAATTAAGTTAAATATAAATTTTGTAAATTATGATAATATTTGGATATACCTACATCATACCCATGTCGACATCGGCACGACTGTCCGTCGGTTGAACATATTGCATTATGGTAGCACGTCCGATTCCCACATTCTGTTACATTCTTCGTGTTAATATCAATAATTTCCGCCTGAATATTAAAGCTTAAATGAGTTAATATCCTAAAAAGTTGTTGCAGATGTAAGCAAGTAAACTCCGAGAAAATGAAGCAGACGGCCCTTGCCAAACGTATCATGGGAATTATCTATCGATTATCTATCGATTCCCCTAAACAACTCTACATTGACTTATCTTCATTGATTTTTGTATATGAAAAAAAAAACTACCAACAAGAACACCTGATATTTAACTAGCAAAAAATCATCAGTTTATCAATTAGTTATTAATTATGTTTACATTCTTTATATTTGTAATAATGTTTTTATCATTCGAAAAATACAAATCTAAATTAAGTAACATATGTAATTAAATAATGGTAATTACTTTTACCTCAGCTAGTTTTATTAAAGTTAGAAACGACACAAAAAGTAAAAGCCTCATTTTATATTTCAATCTTTCGGTAAGAACACGTTAAACTGAATGTGAGTTTTCATGTTTCTCGTAATTGTTGACAATAAATCTTCTTTACAAGTAACACCAGTGCCCGAAAGTATTTAAAGAGACGTGAATTTATAACAATGCATATATAATAACTTTGTAAGCCACTGTAATACCGTCATCTCGTAGAAATCAAACAAGTTAATAAATTTAATAAAGTGTCGTCTGGTTAAAATCATAACATGTCTATAAACCGCTGCGTATTTATTACATTTTGTTTAATATACTCTAAAATCATAATTCGACTATAAACAGAGTAAATACGTAGAGATTTGCACTTTCATTGTTGCATACGATAAGATGCAAGGCGGAATAATAACTGAAAATATGCATTGGTCTTTCTCAAATTGGGCTAAATGCTATTCAAATAAGATGAGATTTGAAAATGACATAATTATAAACATTTGGTAATAAAAACAACTAACTATTTGAATGCGGAATAGGATATATTTGCTAAATACAACTGTATTAAATCATTCAATAAGAAACAAATAAAATATACGTTGCAAAATTTCATTATTCTAAAATTGGAAATTTGCTTATCAGAACTGAAATGAAATAGGTTACAGGCCAGTTATTGTTCGGCAAAGAACAACACTGCAGACGTCTAAATATGAATGTTTCAAGGTTGAATAAAAATACTTTAATTGGTCTAGATCAGTAGCTATATAGTATTAAGTGTAAGAATAAAAAATTTCATAAATGATATTTTAACGTAAAAATCAACTAGAGTATTGTCCATTAAATCCAACTTGACTCAACATAATGGAATTGTAATTAGTCTATGTGTTAAATGTACTTTTATTTAGTCTGCTAGTTTGTACTGCATTGTCTAAGGGCAATAATCTATATAATATCAATATCTCGCTCTGTCTGTCTGTCTGTCTGTCTGTCTGTATGTATGTACGTTTGTATGTATGTCTGTATAGCAAAGAAACGAAGAACGGGTTTCACCGGTTTATTGAGAAAATATTTTATATAAGATTTCTGACATTACTAAATCATAAAATAAAACTAAGCGATAAATTTAGACGATATAATAATTCATACCCTACTGAATTTACTTACTGGACTTGTCCAAATTACATTCTGAAAGAGTCCATTATCAATCTAAGGTATGGTACGATAAACAATTTCATTTTTGTCTACCACCAATAGCGTACAAAATAATAGTTCCAATCGTGCAAGGCAATTTTTCCAGACTTGAAAGCGCTAGCAAGCCCGACTCAAATCTGGTAGCAAAGACTATATAGTTTAGTTTATTTAACAAAAATATTACACGATATATATAAAACAAAACTAAAATGTTTTTTTAAAAGTCAAGAACTTGTCTCTGAACAGCAGGTTTATTTTGCTTGTGCACAAAGCCCTCACGGACAACTTGGTGGGGTCTAATATCTTTTGTCGAAATTTTTCTTTTTTCTGGTAGTACAGCCACACCTCTCTTGCGATTTCCTTTCTTCTGTTTACTGTAAGAATTATGTAAAATTGCATTCAATAAACAAACAAACAAACAAACATACAAATAAATAAATTAATTAATTAATAAATAAATACATTGTTTGCAAATAAATAAATAAACCAAAAGCAACTACAATCACTTTACTTTCTGATAACAAACTTTACAAAACAGAGTTAAACTTTATAGTTGTCAAATGTAATAGATAGATGGCGAAAGAAACATATAAAGTTTGATACAATGTTACAATCTACAACAACGGGATTTGGAGTCGAGACCATAAAAATTTTTTAATTTAAAACAACAATTATACATCATTTGTTTTGCAACAATGATAGATAAAAAGTCACTTTATTGTTTAAGTGATATATATTTTATCTTTCAGGCTTGTTCCCGCCTTTTCTCTGCCGGTTACTTATCCAGAGTCAATGCCAATAATGTTATTTGGTAATTAATGCCTTGAACACATTTTGTAAGATTTCTTTAAGGTTATAAATGGATTCAGTTTAATGATAATTACCATCTATTCCTTATGGTGATAACGACGCAAATCATAAGGAGAAGAAACAATAATGCACCAAGACATATGACCATAATCTCACTCATGCTCAGTTCACCTAGGTCAACTGTAAACATTTATAATGACATTATCAATATAATGTTACGTTGTATGATTGGTAACTAGACTACCTAAAAATGATAATAGTTGAATATAAGAGAGTGTTAAACTCATTACATTGTTGTTCACATGAATACGTACATGCATGACAGGGATTGCCCACATTCGAACCAATGTTTAAATCTTAACAACACTTTCTTATTCGAAATATCTTATTTTGTTGTATCTTATGAAAAACACCTAGTCACATTTATTGGTACTTACTCCCATTTCGCATATTTTAATTTTGAAGATAGTTAAAGCACCGTTTTTTGTCATGGAAACCATCGTACCAGAACGCAAAAAGTCGATGTTTTCAGTAAGATAATTTACATTTTATATAGATTTACTGTAATATATTCTGTCAGTATCCTGATGAACGTTTATTGGTTTCAATAACGGCTTTAAGATAACAAGTAAATTTAAATCATATGAGGAAGGATTCTTTTTTAAAACCTCAATTGTGAATGAAAAGCTTTGGAATTTTACCTCGTTTTGTTTCAAATGGGGCATCGCAAGAAAACGTGCCTGGCTTATTATGGCAAATCAAGGAATCATTACACGGTTGATTAGCGCACTCATCTATATCCTCCCCGCAATGTTTACCCGCCCATCCATTGTCACATGTACACGAATATGACCCTTTTGTATTTGTGCAAACACCTGAATTCTTGCACGGATTTTTCGAACATTCATCAATATCGTCAGAACATGTAGGACCTTGCCATCCGGTAGGACATGTGCATACAAAAGAACCAATCTTGTTTCGTTTGCAATCATTTTCGTTTGTCTTGCAGACTTTAACGAATTCATGTTTACACAAGCATTGATTTCCTCTGCCATGTCTCTTGCATATTTGGGTCAGTTCGCACATGGTACTGATGAAAGACATATTGAAGCATAAATTAACATATTAAATATTAACCAAGTACAATAAAACAACCTGTTACTACAGTTTGCCAGTAAGGGGAACATTGTTCAAAGACTTCGTGAACAACAAGTAAATCAGAAAAATTGCAAACCCGTATATAAGAACATGTATTATAAAACCTGCTTAATGGTAGAAAACTCGAAAAAATGGAGATCTTTTGCGAGAAATTAAAACACAGTAAATATTTGACAATTTAAAAATCTATTTTCATGAGAAACAATGTTATGTACAACATCTTTTACGTCCCTTAGCACCGGCGTTAGTGGTACTTAAAGTATTGGGAAGGACCAGAACAAAATTGTTAGAAGGGGAGATCCATCGAGTGCTATGGAAACAAAGTAGATGCAAATGAAGTTGAAATAATAATATCTGTCATATGCTGCGGTCATATGTTTTCGGCATGGGTAAAACTAACGGAAATGCCAGTCTGATATGCAAGAAACTGCATTGTCAATTTTATAAGTTAATGTGTCTGTGTATGCGTTTGAGCGCGCGTGTGTGCGTGCATGTGTGTTGTATCAGAGGTGTAGGAAATTGTGTCTAACCAAAATTGAGAACAAATGCCCACTGATAGATCAACCGGTCAATTTACTGAAAGCATCTATCGACAGGTGTTAAAATTAAAGCATGAAATGGAAAAGTTATAAAATGTCAATGTATTTTGATAAAATATCTCTTAAACAATGTCTACCATTTTTGTCCAGATTTCGTAATGATAATGTAATTAAATGCCAGTGATCAAACTGATCAACTCACGTTAAAACAATATATGTAATATAAATAATACATAAGTAATGTTGATCAACTGCAATGACAACAATACACATTGTCAGAAAACATTCTGATTAACTCTCACAATAAGAAATTAATATAATGAATCAATCGTGATTGTTAAAGAATGCAATTATTTACCAACATAAATATTACCAATTTGAAAATTGCAAGCATCTGACTTGACAAACCTTTGGAGGAAACATGTTGCCATATATTTTTCAACGTTCATATTGACAATGAAACAATTGCAAATGTATGTTTCGATGACAATGCAATTACTGCCAACATTTATATTGGCCAACATGTGAATAATTGTTATAAAACAAGCCTGAATATTTACCAACTTTCTTCGTGGTAAAACTATAATAAGCCAGCATTGACAAATATAACAACGAATTAAGATGCCAGGGTCAATTGTAATGACAATGGCCAATAAAATGCCAGTGTAAATATTGACCAACACCCGTAATAATAGTGTTTAATAAAATGCCAGCTAAGCGTAAATATTGACCATCACTGATGATGACAATTTTCAATAAAATGCCAGCGAAAATATTGACCAACACTCATAACAACAATGCTCAATATAATGCCATGAAAAATATTGACCAACACTGGTGAAGAAAATTTTCAATACAGTTGACCAACACTCGTAATAACAATCAGTAAAATGCCAGCGTAAATATTGACCAACACTCTAAATAGCAATCAATAAATGCCAGTGTAAATATTGACCAACACACTAAATAACAATCAGTAAAATGCCAGTGTAAATATTGACCAACACACTAAATAACAATAAGTAAAATGCCAGCGTATATATTGATTAACACACTAAATAACAATCAGTTAAATGCAAGCGTTAATATTGACCAACACACTAAATAACAATCAGTAAACTGCCAGCGTAAATATTGACCAACACTCGTAAAAATATTCCTCAATATCTTATGCTAGCGAAGATATTGATCAACACTGGTGATGACAATTTTCAATAAAAAATCCAAGCGTAAATATTTACCTGTTTAGACATTGATGCTGGCATTTGTCACCAATCCACCCCGGAACACAGTTTCTTAAATGCTCATCTAATATATTTGGGATTTCGCAATGAATGTCCTTGCCATTTTCCCATCCTTTTACACAAGTACATCTGTATAAACAATAAAAACTTTCATAATGTCCGATAGCAAACTTAAGAGATATACCAGTTATATATTGAACATCTGTGAGTATTTCGTAAATGTTATTAAGCATATTTCTTGTTCAACTTGCCCAATAATTATGATTGTTATTTCAAAAGTATGGCCGAATGGTTAAAGCGTTGGACTAGTATTCTTAGGATTGCTGATCGCGTGGGTTCAAGGGTTCAAACCCTCTCAGGGCTAGCCGTTGTTTCCCTGAGCAAAAACTTAACACTCATTGTTTAGTGTTGTTTGGTTTCAGGAATGGAACCGAGACTGTTTCAATAAGCTTATAGCTTTCAACACAATCGAACTAAAATAAATTTGTGTAACCTATTAAGTATATTTATCCAGCATGCTAAAAGTTTAAAACATTAAGTTATAGAAAGTGTTATTGGGATTGGGATAATTATATGTACACCAATTGTGTCGTATATTTCTGCTTAATGGTAAATATTTACACAATATGGTTATGTATGAAGCAAAAGATTTTTTGGTACTTATACATGTATACTGGAAGAAAAGAAAAGTATTTTTATTATTGAAAGGAAAAGACAAAAAGCACATTTTTTTCGTCATGACGTATATAAGTCTTTGTTCTCTTAACCCATTACTTCATGAGCATTTTGTGAAAATAGCTGTTTTCATTGAAAAGTCTCCCGTTACAAATTCAAATTGCTATAAAACTATAAAAACTGATTCAATACCAATCAAACTTGGCACAAATATTGACTGGACCATTGCCTTTGCAACAGCATGGTCAGGCTTAAATTTTCTGTTACCATGGCAACGAGGGGACATCTAAAAATTGCCCAAAATTAATCACTACTTTGCGTTGATTTTTTCCATCAAAATTGATTTCAAAGTGCTGAAACTTCTCAGTTGATTGAGAGAGAGTCAAATGCTTTTCAGCGTTGGTTACACGTTACCTTATGACCGACCTGGGGTCATTTTTAGCCTCTCACAAGTCCAAAATTTTCTTGGCGAGACAACAAAAAAAAAGGGGGGGGGGTGAAAAAGGCGTTAAAAGGCGTGTATATCGCGTAATGGGTTAAAGAATAATTTTATGAAAGTTTATTTCTACACTACTAGGAAAAAAACTATTTTGTACGTAAATTGTTTTTATATCTGAAAATAAAATTTGTTGGCTTAATGATAATTAACGTTAAATTACGAGTATGTTTTTATATTAAATGGTACAAAATGAGATGTTTTCTTAACTTTATTTAATTTAATTTTGGAGTTGAAACTGAGAAGCCCTTTTTTCTTCCATCTTGATACATAGCAGGAAAAGATGTTTTTATTCCAGACGTTTTTGCACGTTCATAAAATTTATTTCTTATATTTCTTGACAGTACAGTGCGGAAAAGAAGAGGCGCTTTTACAGGAAAGCGAGCTGCAAAAATGTTTTTAACGAAAGCGTTCATTTTACAATAGCATATTAGAATATTAGTTATAACATTTTACAGGCTAAAATCTATTTTGCCAGGTGTATACAATCAGTTTACCTACCTGTAACTTCCAACTGTATTGTGACAATATCCTCTGTGGAAACACGGGTCTCCTCCATATTCGCATTTGTCTAAATCCTGTTCACAATTAATACCCTAAAAAATAAAATACGCCACATTTGTTTTTTTTATCTACAAAAAAAATCATGACTTGTAGGTAAAACTTGTCATAGGTTTTTCAAATAATTTTGCTTAATACATCGTATCGAAAGTAATAATGTGTTATCATACATTTCAAAATATCTTGAATTGTTTGTCTGTAATAGTTCGAATGAGATGTCAGATGTTCTAACTGATCAGGTCCGACAAAATATGAAGCCATATTGCGCGTTACGTCATTTTCGTTAAGGGCATAAATGAAAAATGACTTTTTTCACTGTAATCCGTTCTTATAAAAAACTATTATATTCGTGTACTGTAGATTCAATACTACATTTATTGAACTCGTTGAATAAGATAATTCGCACAGAGTCTCACATGATATGACTTCAATAAAAGTTAATACACTCATTCAGAATCATTTACATTGCTATTTGAATCAATTACAGTAACTTTACACAAAAAGGAAAAGATATAACGAAAATACAATATGCATTACTTGATACGAGTTTGGATATTTTGATATTCCCGATGCTATTTACTTTAGTTTACTTTAATGTTAACGAATCATTTATAAAGAGAGAAAAAAACGAATACACTTACTGTGTATCCACGGTGACATTGACATTTTGTTCCATCATCAGAACACATGGAGTTATGTAAACAGGTAAAATCGCCACACTGCGTCACATTCGGTGCGGCGGTCTGAAGGTTTACTGCCTGTGATATAAATACATTTCATATATTAAAATATTATATAGCTATATATCAAATGAGCTATAATGAGGTCCAAAAGCCTAAAACATAAATTTGAACTTCTAACATACTAGAAGATAATCTGATAAGCTCAAAACGGAAACATACTGCGGTATGCAACAGAAATATACTTAGAATTGAAATAGGAATCGAATACTTATGAGATTCGCTAATAGCGTTTAACGTCTAAACGCCTTTCAAATATAGATTATTTCGCGCAATGAAATTAATTTCTTCAGGAATAAGATTGAGCAAATGACCTATGAAATTTTACATACCACAATTAATCGTTAAAAACTTACATATAACTTTACATAAATCTCAAAAAAATATTTCAAGTCTCGTACTGTCAAATCTATCTTTGGGGTCCATCTGAGGACAAGGAAATGAACAGAATATTGAATTGTATACAAATATTTCTTTCAGTGTTTCTATGTCTACCAACTTTGATAAGAGTTGATGAGACAACAAACGTAATTTAGCAAGAGTATATCTTGAAATTGGACATTTTATTTTACTTTATCATTTTGATAATTCAAAATAAGTTTTGATCTCTTTGAAAAATAAAAGTTAAGATCTGGAAGAGATGTCCTGTTTCCAGTTATTTACATATATATTCTGAAGTCTTGTACGTGAAATTACAGTAAACTTATTTATATCTGCTGAAGAAGGAAACAACAAAACATCATTAAAACCAACAATTTGTAATAAATATCTAAATTTTAAAGTCCAATTGACAACATCATTATTATTGTCAGCATCATGACTTAATTTATTTATGGTACTTGATAAAATACAATTAAACTTTGTTTTTTTTTCACCATGTCACTCAAAAAATACTTTACAATCCTAATTTCTCTACCTATATATATAAAGGGAATTTACCCAATTCACAATAAACAGCAGAACTTGTAGTAGACATACTAAAATCTAATAAGCATGTCATGAATTTTCTATGTACTTTTCATTTTTTTCTGATTTGATAAAACCCCAAACTTCACTGTAATAATTCAGAATAAAGATTTAAAATAATATTTACAGACACTTCTAAATCTCTCATTATAGAAAAAAGTTCCCCACTGCGTTAATGTTTCAGTTGCATTCATAAAAGATTTACCAGAAATTGACACTTGTAACACTTTCTAATATTTCCTATTATAATAAAGATGTTCATCTCAATTTATCCTAATGCTTCACAAAAAATACTGACATTTTGTGAGGAAAAATAAAAAAAAACAAACAAACACCACACAGTGAATGATATATTTGAATTAAGTAGATAAACAGTAGACACACTACACAAGTTTTAATTGTAATGAACAATAGCCTAATGAACTATTATCAAGTTCTTAAATTGTGATAATGATATTGATTTTATTGTGCTAATAATATAGAAACTTTTTATACTTTTATACATTCACCAATATCTGCGTTCTTTTATTGTCTATAATTCTTATTTTGTTTTTCTTACTTTTTATTTATCACTTATTCATTACTGTTTTGTATTTTATTGTGATACATTTGTATTCATAACTTATAATCTTTCTATGTTATATAATGCAATATCCTAATGACCACAATGGAAAAAAGAGTCATAACGAATCTTTTTGCGTGCTATTCTAAACATATATTAACTATATGTGGGTTGACATAGCTTTGTTTGCCATTCATACATATTTGTTAATAGTTTTGTTAATGTTTTACAATATGCCAATAGCGATGTATATGTATATTTAATGTTGAAATAAGGGAATTTAATATATCTCTTATCTTTTTTTTTTCTCACAAAACAATATTTATTTATTTGTAATTTACCTTTCTGTTATGGTTAAAAAGAAATACAATGTTAATCTATATAAAATAAGCATTTAGATAGTCAAAATAGAGGATATATATAATACATATTAAAATTTAACTAACACAATATTTTACTTACAATAAATAAATCATATACTTACATTTGATTCTTTATTGAAATGTAAAAATAAATAAGTATGAAAAAGAAATAAAACTGCATGATATAATAACATTATTTTTCTATGTCCTTTCTAACAGTCATCTTATGAGACTTTTGGCCTTGTGAACATTTTCTATATCTTTTTGTTTCAGACAGACATCAAACCTGTCAATCAAATAGTACAGTCTGTATGAGAAATTAAAGTTCTATTCGGAGTTAAGAGGATTAAATAAGGATTTGGATTTAAACCCTTATATCTAAAATCAAAAGTTCCGTAGACAATTTATCAATTAGTTAATCAGGTTCAAATCCATATGTCATTTTGTTCAAATGATCTAATCTTCATAGGTCAATTTACTTTGTTATCTTTTTGTACAAACATAATAATGTAACATTTACTGATATTTTATGACATTACATTAAAATACTTATTTTTCTAATTTGACAATTTAAAAGTGAAAGGTAAATTAATTTTTTGAAGAAAAAAGTAATAAAAATTATGAATAAAAACTATTGTGACCATAGCTATCAAAGCTTTCCATTCGTACCCTTCTTTTCTTCAGATTTATAATACTGACATGGCATTCTGTAATAATCATCTGAAAACATATATTTTTGTAAGTGAAATATTTAGAAAGTCTTCATGGGTTGCAAAAGCGATCAAATGCCAAGGTTTAATTCTGAAATACATGGGATGAAGCCCTTAAGCCCTACTACGATCACGACAAAGACCATGTTTCCTGATATGTCACCAGTGCCTGTAAGTTCAAGAAAAAAAAACAGACAAAGAACTACTTTCACAAGCAAGGTTAAATAAACATATTTAAACTGAATGCAAAAATTAAAGGGAAAGAAAAAAGTGAAATTCCAAAGTATAACCGCGCACTATTCTAACTTAAGTTAAACTTGTATAAGTCCGATTAAATCACAGATTAGTGCCATAACTTCCATTACAGTTATAGTGCACACTTCCATGAACTAATATACAGCAGTTTTCCTTTTCCTTTACGTAGCCTCGACCACCGTTAATCTTTACTTAAGCTGAAAAAATATTTTATTGAATTTCATGCAATTTTGTATTATGACAAATATAGAATAAAGAAATAAGAGTTTTCAGACTTAAATTTTAGTTATTTGTTCTTAAAATTACCTAAACTAATAAAAAATCAAATTCAATTTAATGTCATCCTCTTCTTAGATCACGCAAAGCTTTCAAAGTTCCACTTTATTTAGTTTTAACAATCTTTAAGGCCATACGCTGCTTTCTGCGAAAGGGCAAGAACGTATCACATTGAATGTTCCATGATGAACACATCTGCGGATGTTTCCAAAGTCAAAATTTTACCATTGTCATGTTAAAATTTTTAATTCTGCTTTAGCCGTTGCTAGGATGCGTGAACGATAGCTTGCACTTTCCAGAACTTTCCATAAACAGGCTTAATCAAATTGAGCTTGCAACATTTTCAATATTGCAGTATTGTGCGTTTTTAGGGATTTCATTTTTATCTATTCTATACTATTGGTAGATCGATTTGGGATTTTGAAATTTTAAAATCCCATAAACTTTAAATTATGTTCAAATCTGGGCACATACACTTATTCAGCAGGTAAATATTGTTGCTAACGTAATGATACTCGTATTTCGGTAAACACACATGATCCAGCTGTCAGATCGTCTTTCTTATATGAAAATAGTTTATACCTTGACTTCAGTAATAACGACACAATGCCAATATTTGTTTTGAACAGCAACAGACAAAATGAAAAGACCTATTGTGTTTTAACTATCAAAACTGTAAGGCAAATGAAATTAGTTATTTTTATCAACATAAAAGAAAATAGTAAAGAGTACTTGTCTTTAAACAGGACCAATAACATTGATCCAAAAGTCATGCTTTCAGAATAACCAGAATGTTGTTTTGAATATAAGCAGATAAGCAAGTCTGACTTTTATATGACATTTCAATACTATGTATGTCTATTCATTAACCTTTACGTTTTATTAATATATGAATATTAATTCATTTGATATAATCACAAATGCAATTCTTCAAAATAAAAAAAAGCATGTTACTGATCTGCTTGTGTCTTTTTTAAAGATAGATGTAACATTTTGATCCTTTCTAACATCAGTAATTTTGTAATAAACTGACAGGAAAGAATATAATAAACATAACTAAATTTACAGATAATAAAACACTTGTTTCTTTATTCGTAATTAAACAAACGGATATAAAACAACAATAAACCATATAGTTGCACCGGTATATTGTATTTTATTATGTCTTAGAAATACACAGTATTTTGTTACTATTATCAAATGCCGATTGTTCGAAGTATTTTTGTCAAAGGTTTAAAATGTTCCACACGGTTCAGTTTGAAATCAAAATAGCATTTGACTTTTTCCATTAACAAAATCTTTATCTCAGTTGTCACATTGAATAGGACATCAAAAGTCAAGGACTTGTCTTTTGACGACAGGTTTGTCCTGTTGGTACACGAAGCCCTCTCGCACTACTCGTGGGGCACCAAACTTTCCTGTCTCATTTCCGTGTTTCTCTGGCAGCACGGCGGCTCCTTTTTTACGTTTTTTGCGCCTTTCTTTACTGCAAAAGTTGGTAAACGTTATACAGATTTCCTATTAGAGAATGATTTATCTATAATTACATTGTTTGTTTAAAATTAGCCATACATTTCATATATTAAATAGGTTGTAAGGACATTATGTATAAGAAGACGGCACCAAAGAATACATTTCCAAACAATGTAGTTTTATAAACGTTGTATTTGAAGTGCAGGCTAGAATTATACAGACCCAATTGACATTTCGTCTTGCCAATTCCTATTGGTAACATTGATATGTACCCTTTTGTGAAAATCTAAATTGTGTTGCAATTCTTATTGTATCCACTAATATGATAATTAGAATAAGACAGGCCAGGGATCTATGCATTTTAATGCAATAATATAAATGTCAGAATTCGATAATAAAGAAAACATTAAAACAGCAACAAAATTTAATATAAGAAAAAAATGCAAGAAACGAAAAGAATAATTTTGTTATAAGAATTCCTACATTAATTAAAACAAAATTAGTTGGACGTGATGGAAATAATGAAGTGTCGCGCGCAGGAGTGAAGGCTACACTTCACTATTTTGGTATGCTCCTCTTTTGTGCTAGCTTTGTTATTCATGGACTGACTTTGAAAAGAAATATGCAAATGAAATACATATCGCCTTCCTACATTTACAGGCGTAAGATTAAAATAATGAACTATTTCATGACTCTGACAATCAAGCTTTTCTTTAATTAGATAAAATATTTACCATTTTTCCCTCAATGTGATAATTAAAATGATAAGAAGTAGTAAGAACAGTAGTCCACCCAGGCTTGCCACAACTATTATCCCTGTACCTATGCCAGTAACATCAACTGAAAAAGTAAGGGGAAAACAACAAATACCTATTTTCTTATATTACAAATAAATTGCATGTTGCTTAGTCGACTTAGGTAAACTTTACATAAAGATTCCAAATTATCGCATAATTCTGTTATACCGTAACAGTTAAAGGTATAAATTAAACTATTTCGTATTTATAATTCAAGATTATGTACCGGATAATAGTCACTTTAAAATGTTTTGTTTAAAACAATTAAGACTTATAATCATCATATTTTTTTTCTTGTTACTATGTTAATATACAAAACAATGGTATAGATTTAAGTAAAATGAAGTCAAAATTAAGTGCTAAATATATAAATATACCCTTCTTGGGAACATCGCAAGAAAACGATCCATGTTTATTATGACAAACCAAGGAAGCTTCACATGGCTGACTTGAACATTCATCAACATCTTCCTCACAATTGTTGCCCGTCCATTCTTTTGTGCAGTTACAAGAGTGGGATCCATTTGTATTTATACATGCTCCAGAATTCTTGCATGGATTTTCAAGGCATTCATTTACGTCATCAGAACAGGATGGACCTCGACGACCGACAGGACAAATACATATGGATAAACGCTTGGTGTTTTGGCATTCAGTTAAACCTCTACAGTGACTTCCATTGCAATTGGTGACTTCCTTGTTGCATTTGATTTCTTCAAACCCATCTTTACACACACAAATATTCCCACGTCCATATTTCTTACATACTTGATTCTGTCCGCACGAAGAACTTAATAAAAAAGTGAATAACATCATAATACCTCTTACCACCTTTCAAAGGACGGCGTTAAAATGAAAATATAAAAAACAACAACAAAAGAACGACAGCAACAAAAGAAGAAAAAGCATGCAAACAAACAAAACAGCATGGGAAAAAATCCAAAAAAAGTTTAAAAAATATATTTGAAATTAAAAACGTTGAGTAGTCTAAAAATGATCAACTGAAACTCAAACTTACTACATATATAAAAAACAACAACACAAAAACAACAAGCAAACCAGCGAAAAAAAAACAGCAGACAAAAAAAGCAAGAATAGAAAAACAAGGCAAAAGTATAACCTACTCATTATGACAATTGTTTTCACATAAGTCGCCGAACCATCCTGTGATACATTTTCTATCACTGCTGGTTTTCTCCTCACAATGTTTCAATGGGCCATTTTCCCAGCCTTGTAAACAATAACACCTGAAACAAATATCTCATGTACATGATCACTATTTTATCCATGAATAACAAATAGTAAATTATGACGTTTCCAGAAATTAGCATATCCTTAAATGTAGTCTATTTATAATCTTATAATTGTAACTACAGAATGTGTATATTGCCCACATAAATTTCGTAATAAAATCTAACTTTAAATTTATATCTAAGTGAGAATTTAAGCAGATGTGAAATTAACATTTTCTTTTCACACGCCCTTTACTTTTATTAAACTTTTTTCCAAGTATATTACTTTTATGGCAAACAAAACAGAAAATTACATGGAAACAGTTCGAACTTATTGTTGATCTGTTTAATTTTAAAAAGGGCCGTGATTTGGTCTTTATGACTTTGGTCACAAAAAACAAAAATACTTTACTGAAACGGTGGTTACTAAATCCGATACATTTTTTTCTCAGAATATTAAAGATTTAATTTTGCAGACATACTTCTTTAAGTTACAAAGACGCAAAAAATGTGTCCAAAATATGATGCGTCGTCAGTTCTATAAATGATTCTTAAAGAAAGGTCCAAACCGCAAAAAAAAAATAAATAATGAATTTCTTATTGGGGCATTATGTACAGAAAGTTTGCAAAAAATAATTAAGAAATTTACATTTAATAAATTGAAAATAGTATTTATATGCTATTCTTCACCCGATTGAAGTAAAAAGCGTTGAAATGTTGTTGTTTTTTAATTCGTGTAATTTTCACAATTTGAATAATTATTCCGGAAAAGACAGAGGAAGCGATTGGTTTGAAGTTTTGCACACAAGTTATTGATCTTGTCCTACATCAAATGGAACATTAATTCAGTCACGTCTTGTCAAAAACCCTCAGTGTAGTCTTTAATTATGCCTTTGCTCGTTTTCAAAGTTGCACTAACAAAATATAACAACGTACGTAAAATCATTCTTAGTGACACTTTCTACAATTAGCTTTATGTAACATATCTGTCAGAAAATTGGCAATATATTAATAAAGAAACAATTTTGTAATTATGTCCCTTTTTTATTTACTATTTTGTATTACATAAACACTTTTATCATCACCGTACATCCAACTACCGAATGTATTTTCACAAAATCCGCGATGGTAGCAAGGACTTCCCATTACACACTCATCGAAATCATTTTGACAACTATCACCCTGAAAGAGTAGAATGCTTGAATGTTCTAAGAGTATGCCGAAAACTTAACATAATTATTATGATATTTATGTCTAGTGGTATAATTTGTTAAATATAATGAAGCATCTGGTGTCAATCGCAATATACAACTTATTCAAGGCATACATTTCGGACATGTTTGTTTAAAAGGTAATATAAGTGGAAAGAAATATTTGTAAATGCTCTTTTAACTTTCAATTACATTTTGTTCAAATATATCATTCTGTATGTTGGCCTAATTTGTTTAAAAAAGAAAGAAGAAAAAAAACTCACCGTATAACCTCGTTGGCATTGACACTTTTGTCCGTCACTAGAACATGGTGCTTTATTGTAACATGTAATTTCTCCGCATTGTGTGACATTCGTTGTTTGAAAATTACCCGACCCAGTCACCTGAAGGTACCAATGGAAAAATTACTTGTTACAAGTAGAATATTTATATTCAAGAGCATTAGAAGAGCGGTCATGTAAATAAGGTAATCTAAATATTAGTACAATTTTATAAACAAATAACTAGAGATTAATTATGTTTTGTTTTGTAATATTTTCTGGTTCTTCGGGATAATTAATTCCAGCACGTTTTGTTGAAGACTTAATACAGCTTGAGCAAGTGATAGATGTTGCACTTTTTCAATTTTATTCATGAACACACACATCAAATCGAGTCTGAAATTTCCATATAATATGGTTGCTTTTATTGCTTCCGAGTAATCACTTCTTTTCCAGATTTACCTATTGTTTAACATTAAGTATTATTGCAATTATGGAGTCAAATAAAGCTAATATTGAAAAGCTTGTCTAAATTATATATTCATAGTTATGCCTTAAAATGTACAAGTAAGATCATCTTGAAAAGCTACACATTGAAATATTGTATTAATTAATAATATTTCCAGGTAGCATATCCATAAAATGCCAGTACCGATGTAACAAAACTGAATCATAATTTAATCTTACCCTATCAAATAATACACTTTGCAAAAGTAAGAAAAAGAAGGCAGACTTCATTCTTTTACCATCATCATACAACGTTTGTACTTTTTAGATTAAAGTCGAAAAGGTTTTCCTTTATAATTATCTAATATAACAAGCTACAGAACGACCAGACAGATATGCTTTCATCCAAAAGTTATCAAAGCTTTATTTAAAGATTTAAACAGATTAAATTAAAATTTGATAATAAGTCTATATATCCCAAAATCAAAAAGTCTTGGGGTTGGTTTATCAATTAGTTAATCGGGAAACAAATCTACATGTCATTTTGTTTAAGTAATGTAATCTCCGTCGGGTCAACCAACATATTTAGTGTTTCTTTGGTTTCGTATGCCTCATCTGGTGCAATTGAACCTTACAAAGTTTAAATGAATACTTATTACATTTGTAATTTAAAATGGGGTATATACTAAGTCTTATACCATACATGTTTGTGTATGACTGGAATATTCTCAGGGACTGTGTTCCAAGAACGTCCTTCTCACTTGTTTGTATTTGTTGTAATATTTCAACATCTATTGAAACTTTTTTTCTTGTATTCACAAGCACTTTCATTTATTAACATCCCGCAACTTATTTTTATATGCATATAGTAAGAAATGTACACGATCATTAGAGTTAAAAATCAAATGCTTGTAATGAAAATATAATTATTAATATTGTAAATATTTCATCTTGGATTGTTTGTCATAAAAACGAGTTTTTGTTTCCTTTTCTAAATGACTTATTCCAAGATTAATTAATTTTGCATCTCAAATGCTATAAAAATGGCATTTTATCTTCAGAAATGTCACTCTTGTAATAATTTAAGAATAATTTTGAGACTAATGGTGCGTAAACGTTTATTAAAGTTAACTAGTCTTGTAGGTATGTAGCCTAATTAAAGTTATGCCTGTGGTTAAAACATGGATGCTTTAAGGTAACATAAACAAATTTTAAAACATTGGCCTTTTTAAACTGGAACGTAGTCCAGTTAGTGTTAACAGAGATGTCATCTTGTCAAATGTTTGTCTCCAGTACTCTTATCCCGTTTGTTCAATGGGATTAGCAAGAATGTTGAACTACCGCGATGTTATTTCAAAATTTCTTCGCAATCGTTAATGTCTCCTTTTTATTCCTTATGCATAATTCGCTCTATAATCCGTATAATAACTGCATCCCATACTAATAGTGATTTATCAAACCTGCTTGTTGGACATAATAACGTCATTTTAGTATTTGCGGATATTTTGTTATTTGTTATTTTACGAGGTCATTTTCCCGATGAGTGATCCTGGATAAGCTTACAAGTTTTAATACGAGTAACGTAGTACGCGCTTTATAAATTATAAATTTGCAACATAAAGATGAAAATGCAAAATTCAAATCGTGGTAAGTGTGTACGCATACGTAATTACGCTTTCTTTTAAGTTCTTTAGAAAACAATGGCACAATGACGTCCTTTTATCATATTTTTGTTTCGTATATATGTATCTTTTAAATTATATTTATGTTGTGGTGTTTAATGAATAAGCCATTTTAATTCTTAGATGAAATATACGAGCGGATTATCGGATGATTCCTAATGAAAAGCACAAATTTATGGCTTTCAGCGTTTGGGCCGGCGGAGATGGGTTGGGGGAGAGGAGGTCAAACTCACGTCACCGGACGTAAAATCGCAAATGAATTTATAGTTTTAGACAGCGATTTCCTCAAGCAACTGTCGGGGAAATATCGAAGATCCCGAAGAAGGTGTGAAACAAACCGCAAGTAGCTCTTTACTTTTTATTTGCCCGAAAGGGCATATTATGTTATACCCCCTGGCGTCCGTCTGTCTGTCCGTCCGTCCGTCCGTACGTCCGTCCGTCCGTTAGCAATTTGGTTTCCGGAGCATAACTTAAGTTCCATTTGGCTCACAATGTTCAAACTTCATAGGATGATTGTCCATATTGGGTAGAAGACCCCTATTGATTTTGGGGTCACAAAATCAAAGGTCAAGGTCACTATGACCTTAAAACTGAAAACAGTTTCCGGAGCATAACTTAAGTTCCATTCGACCCACAATGTTCAAACTTCATAGGATGATTGTCCATATTTAGAAGAAGACCCCTATTAATTTTGGGGTCACAAGGTCAAAGGTCAAGGTCAATATGACCTTGATACTGAAAACAGTTTCCGGAGCATAACTTAAGTTCCAATTGGCCCACAATGTTCAAACTTCATAGGATGATTGTCCATATTGAGTAGAAGACCCCTATTAATTTTGGGGTCAAAAGGTCAAAGGTGAATGTCACTATTACCTTATAACTGAAAACAGTTTCCAGAGCATAACTTAAGTTCCATTCGACCCACAATGTTCAAACTTCATAGGATGATTGTCCATATTGGGTAGAAGACCCCTATTGATTTTGGGGTCACAAGGTCAAAGGTGAAGGTCACTATTACATTGATACTGAAAAATATGTTTCCGCGCATAACTTAAGTTCCATTCGACCCACAATGTTCAAACTTCATAGGATGATTGTCCATATTGGGTAGAAGACCCCTATTGATTATGTGGTCAAAAGGTCAACGGTCAAGGTCATCCTTACTAAAAAAATATACTTTCGGGCATATAATGCTCCGCCTAGCGGTGCTCTTGTAATTGAACCAATAGTGATTACGTTGCCTGCAGCGGAATAAGCATTCGTTTATTTTGAGCTAACCAAACATAATATAGCATAAAATTTATTGACGGCATACTTTTAGCTATTAAAACAATGTTTCAGAATGGTGGAAAATAAAAAAATACATAACAAATACAAATTTATTTTCAGAGAGGGAAGTCGTCTAAGCAATTCTT